AAAAATCAGTGTACTTTTCTCTATTCAGTCATCTTGGAATCACTGAGGTCCAAACCTTTAACCTGTGGACTCTTCGGGAGTGTTCAACCTCCAAACCATTGCATAGGCATACTTGAAAAGGCTTGTGGAAAATGGAATTAAAAGATAAGTTTGGATATAAAATTTTTTTGAAATCCATGCATATGAATGATCTTCAAAACAATCAAAGAAAATGCATATTATGGAAAACTATGCATAGATTTTTCAAGTTTCTTGAACCAAAATGAACTGATCTTTTTTTTTTTTTAGATTTATTTATTTTATTTATTTATTTATTTTTGACAGGCAGAGTGGACAGTGAGAAAGAGAGACAGAGAGAAAGGTCTTCCTTTGCTGTTCACCCTCCAATGGCTGCCGCGGCCGGCGCGCTGCAGCCGGCGCACCGTGCTGATCCGATGGCAGGAGCCAAGTGCTTCTCCTGGTCTCCCATAGGGTGCAGGGCCCAAGGACTTGGGCCATCCTCCACTGCACTCCCTGGCCACAGCAGAGAGCTGGCCTGGAAGAGGGGCAACCAGGACAGAATCCGGCGCCCCGACCAAGACTAGAACCAGGTGTACCAGCGCCGCAAGGCAGAGGATTAGCCTAGTGAGCCGCGGCGCCGGCTCATGAACTGATCTTTTAATTCTGTTTTTCCACAAACTTTTTAAAGTGCCTTCATATACCAGCAATGAACAAGAAGAATTTAAAATTAAAAACCCAGTACCATTTACATTAACATCCCCCAAAATATTTAGGTCTAAACCTAGCCAAATATGTAAAATGTCTATATGAGGAAAATATAATCTGATGAAAGGAATCCCAGAATAACCAACCACATGAAAAGATATTCCATGTTCATGGACAGGCTGACTCATTGCTATCAAGATGTCCTTTTTACTTACTTTACAACCCAAAATTCAATGGAAATCTAAAGCAGATTGTTTTGTGTTAACCAACTGATTGTAAAGTTCACATGGGAAAGGAAATGACTCAGAATAGCCAACTTAATATTGAAGAGTAATATTACCAGACTTTGAAGTCTTACTGTAAAGCAGTGGTAATCAAGGCAAAGTGGTATTGACAAATAGATCCATGGAACAGAGAGCTGACACATGTACATTTAATCAAGTCATGTTTGATAGAGGAGCAAAGACAATAGAGTGGAGTAAAAATGTTCTTTCAAGGCCGGCGCCGCGGCTCACTAGGCTAATCCTCTGCCTTGTGGCACCGGCACACTGGGTTCTAGTCCCGCTTGGGGCGCCGGACTGTCCCGGTTGCCCCTCTTCCAGGCCAGCTCTCTGCTGTGGCCTGGGAGTGCAGTGGAGGATGGCCCAAGTGCTTGGGCCCTGCACCCCATGGGAGACCAGGATAAGTACCTGGCTCCTACCATCAGATAAGCGCAGTGCGCTGGCCGCAGCGCGCCGGCCTCAGCGGCCATTGGAGGGTGAACCAACGGCAAAGGAAGACCTTTCTTTCTCTCTCTCTCTCTCTCTCACTCTCACTCTCACTGTTCACTCTGCCTGTCAAAAAATTTTTTTAAAAAATTGTTCTTTCAACAAATAGTGCTTGTACAAATAGAAATTCCATATAGAAAAATAAATGTAAATACAGCCTTAAAACCTTCAGCTAGAAGACAGGGAAAATTGTCTCTGATTCATGAAACTCAGAATTGCTGGTGAAACACACACATCTCATGCTAAGTTCTTTCATTTTAGCTTCACGATCATGAATCTTAAGGGGAACATTGATTCTTACAGATAAATTTGTTTATGACTTGATTCTGTTCTCACACATTCTTGGGTGCTTATTTCACACATTCCCCCCTTACACTTTCCCCTAATTCCTATATAACCAAATATCTACTTTTTTCCTCTATCAGTTTGTCTAGTCTTTACATACCCCATAAATGATATCATACATTATGAGGTCTTTTGTGTCTGGCTTCTTTCATTTAGCACAGTATTTTCAGGGCCCATCCATATTGTAACATGTATCAGTACTTCAGTTCTTTTTATATACAAATATCCATTGTATAGACCCAGCATTTCATTTATCTACTCATCACGTAATGAATATTTGGGTTGTTTCCCAACTTTCTAGCTACTATGAATAATGGAGCTATAAACATTTGTGTACAAATTTGGTTTGGACATGTGTTGTCAGTTCTCTTAGGTCATGGATAACTAACTTATTTTAAAATTGTTTTTAATTATGTGAAAGAGAGATAAAGATAAAAAGAGATCTTCCATCTGTTGATTTACTCTCCAAAATCATGCAACAGCTTGGGGTAGGCCAGACTGAAACCAGGAGCCCAGAACTCAAATCTCATGAGTGGCAGGAACTTAGGTACTTGAGATATCATCGGCGATTTCTGAGGGTGTACATTGTCCAGAACCTGGAATCAGAAATGGAGCCAGGATGCAAACCCAGGCACTGAAGTATGGGGCATACTTAAGCACTGAACCAAACACCTACCCCGTGTTTAATTTCTTGAAGACCCACTAAACTGTTTTCCAAAGGCAACATGTTATATTATGTTCCAACCAGGTGTATTTGATGGCTCTAATTTCTCCATATCTTTTCTTACTGTTATTATTGCCCATCTTTTGTATTATATACATTCTAGTAGATGTTAAGTGGTTTCTCATGATGGTTTTGAGTTGCAGTTCTTAATGGTCAGTGACACTGCATCCTTCTATATGTTTATTGGTCATTTATATAATCTTCTTTGCAAAAACGTCTATTTAAATCCTTTGACCACTTTTTAAATTGGTTATCTTTTTGTTACTGTGTTGCAAGTTCTTTATATATTCTAGGCACTAATCTTGTCAGATAAATGATTTGCAAGTATTTTTCTCCCATTACATTGGTTGTCTTTTTGATTTCTTGATTGTGTCCTGTAATGCATAAAAGTTTGATGCTATCCAATTTGTTATTTTTGTTGTTGTTATTGTTGCTTTGGTTTTATATCCATGAAATTATTTCCCAATTCAAAGTAACAAAAAAGTTGGGCCCCTGCCTCACATGATGTACAAAAATTAACTCAAAATAGATCAAAATCTAGTAAGGATTAGACCCATAAAACTCGTAGAAGAGGAATAATGAGATTTTAATCAAATCCTGTTGATTGGAGATACTATGGAATTAAAGGATATTGATATCTGAGTATTCAATTAAGCGAGCTGAAAATTGAATTTGTCAGAGAGGAGACCATGAAATGGAAATTCTAGAAGACTTAGTCTAGGATAGGACTTATGTGAGTAAGTGACTCAAGTAAGATGGTATGCCACGTTTTTTAAGAAAGTATTCCAAGGAACTAAGAGTATCAGAAGGAATAGTTTCTATTATGTAATCACCATTTTTAGAGCAGTGCTTATACCAAAAAAAAAAAAAAAAGCAGATAGTACTTAGATTTCCATATTTCCAGAATATATATTCTGTTTCATTGATCCATTTCTGTAATCTTTTGCCAGTACTACATTGTCTTGATTACTGTAGCAGTTATGGTAAGACTTTAAGTCTGTTTGAGTCAGTTCTGAGACTTTATTTCTCTTCAGTATTGACAAGTCAGTCTTTTTCCTTTCATATAAATTGTAAGCTCAATTGGTGGTCAGTATCCACAAAAATAACTTGATAGGACTTGGACTTTGAGATGGTATTGAATTCATAGATAGCACTGGGGAAGACTGACATCTTTACAATAATGAATCTTCCTAACCATAAATATGGAATAAATCTTCATTTATATCTGTCACCTTGGATTTCTTTCATCAGAATGTTAGTTTTCCACAGAGGAATATACTTTTTTGAATTTGTATCAAATTATTTGTTTTTTAGTGCTAATGTAAATGATTTTTTAAATTTCAAATTCCAATTATTTATTGCAGATATAAAGAAAAGCAGTTAACTTTTGTCTATTAATCTTGGATTTTATCACCTTGCTACAATTGCATATTGTTTCCAGGAGTTTTTCCTCATTGATTCTTAGGATACTCTGCGTAAACAATCCTGTTATTTGCAAATGATGATTGTTTTATTTCTTATTTCCAACCTATGTATCTTTTGTTTACTTATTTTATTGCTAGGACTGGAAGCCTGAACTTCCAGCATGATGTTTAATGGGAATGTTGAGGATCCCTGAAGCTATGACTCAGAGCTTACATAGGACAGCTAATGCAGTCACCCTGCAGGCCCTCTGGGCGAGAGTATGCCCTTTGCTTGGAATGCAAATAGATGTTCTGTGGGGAGAGGAAGGGAAGGGCAACCCCTCCAATATAAGCAGTTTTAGGTGGGGACACAGGTCTTTAAATCTCTCCACAGGACTAACATAGGCTCATTTTCAAGTCAGCATCTTTTAACCCAAATGTCAGCAGTGTTTTCTTTCTTTTTTTCTTTTTTTTTACAGGCAGAGTTAGACAGTGAGAGAGAGAGACAGAGAGAAAGGTCTTCCTTCCATTGGTTCACCCCCTAAATGGCTGCTACAGCCGGCGCACTGTGCCGATCCAAAGCCAGGAGCCAGGTGCTTCCTCCTGGTCTCCCATGCGGGTACAGGACCCAGCAGTGTTTTCATGGAAATCCTTGAACACTGAGGAATGTGAAAATATTCATGGAGCATTGTTTCCAACAGGGAGATGAAAGATGACCTCAGACTCCACAGATTGTACTGGTGACTGAGGCAGATAAAGATAGTGAGGCTGTCACTGGGGTCGGGAAGAGGGTGGGTATTAAGTGATGGGTTTCTGGGCTTCCCTGTTCATCCCTGAGGCTAGCAGTGAAGTCTAAGGGTGATGCAGATGTGGTACCAATACATGGGTTCATTTAGGACATGAGCTGATTGAATCATGTTGAGCATCTAAAGCTTAAAATGCAGACCTACCTCAGATCTGCATTTTTATGACCCATTTACAATTTTAATATCTTCAACTTTTCCCTCTCCAACTCTAGTATCTATCCTTTTATGTGTAAATCCTTCTTTTCTATAGGATCTTCCCAATAATATGATTTACCAAGTTGCCATTAAATCTCTTCCTCAAGACTGGCTGTGGTGTGAAACTTGGTGTGATGATGAATCCAAACAAAGAGCCAAAACAATTGATTTGGTGAGTGCCTATGATCTCGTTTGTATATAAGCATATAGGGAAATGTACAAATAGAAATATATTCTGTGGGTGGGTTGGTTGGTTTTTGAGACAGAGAATGAGACAGATGGATCCCAGATGCCCACAGCAGCCAGGCTGAGCCAGCGCTGAGGTGGGAAATTTGATCCAGACCCCCACATGTATGGCAGAAATCCAACTGTTTGAGTCATCATCACAGCTTCTGAGGGTCTGCATTACCAGGAAGCTGGAGTCAGGAGCTGGTATTGGAAATGGAACCCACACTTTCCAGTAGGGAATATGGGCGTCATAACCAGCATCATAATCACTAGGCAAATACCCACTCCTATTTTCTGTTTTACAAATGGAATAACATGCATACTACCTCATTTTTCCTAATGCTCAGTCTATTACATATTTACATAGGCTATCAAGTAGAGTGCTGTATCAGGGGGCCCCTGAGGCCACCCTCATATTTGATAATTTGCTAAGATTTGTGTAATACAAAATAGAGCTGTATTCATGGTTGTAGTTTATTATAATGAAAGAATTCAAAGAAAGTCAGCAAAGAGAAAAGGTACATGGGATAAATAGAAAACCTGATGCAAAATCCCATGAGTCATCTCTGTGTGAATCACATAGGACAGGCTTAATTCCTCAAGCAATAAGACATCCCACAATATGTGGGAAATATTACCTTTCAAGAGGGCATGTTATAAACCCAGTGGCAAAAGCTTGTATTGGGTCTGTTCACCATATAAGCACCCTCTGCCTAGCACATACCAAAATCCTGAAGCCCAGAGAGTGAGGTGTTTAGCATTAACCATAATGTTTGCCCAAACAGCAAGGCACACTCTTACCAGGGAATGGTCGGAACCCTCCTCAAGCCTAAGTTCCCACAGGCCAGCCAAGGACTAGCCTTACATGTAGGCTTCTCTCAACACAACAGTCTCAGGTTGCTGTTAAACTCTTCCTGCACAGAGTCTTGAAAGAAACACCATGAGCTGGCCAAAAGTGTTCATAGATTAAGTTATCTTAGTATCTTCAGTTTTTTCCTCTTGACAATATCTTTCCCAAAAGATATGTTTTGGATAATTTAAGTAGATAAAATTATCTATTTTTCTTCCTTATTTTTCAGAAATTATTTTTCTTAGATTTTCATTTTAAGCAATTAAATTATGCCATTATTTGTCTCCTAAATATAAATACTTCAAGCTAATTTATTGTACAGCCATCTAGAACTTATAGTTCAGTATAATATTATCTTTAATAACAAAATAATAAAGTTCTTTTTCTGACTATTGTTTTTCATGTGCTGACTTAAGTATAGAATAATTATAAGCTCTTCACTGAAGAATAAACTATCAAAATGTTAGAATTTGTATAATTTTGATTAAAATAAGGAGGCAGGACAATGAAATATAGGGGAATTACCCAGATATAAAAATCCAACTTCCTGCTAATGCAGATATGAAAATAGCAGTGATGGTTCAAGTACTTGAATCCATGCCTCCCATGTGGGAGAACAGAATTGAGTTGCTGGTTCCTAACAAAAGGCTGGCCTAGCCCCAGACATTTCAGGCACTTGGGAAGTGAATTAACAGTTGGGGGAGAGCTGGCTCACTACATGTGCCCTAATAAATTTTAAAAAGTAGCATCAAACATGTTGCAGTAGAATCATAAGTGAAAGAATGTAATGGAAATAAAAATAATCAGGGTCCAGTGGGTTAAGATGCTACCTGCAATGGCATCCAATATTGGAACCCTGGTTCGAGTCCCAGGAGCTTCTGATCAAGCTCCTGCTAATGCACTTGGGAAAACAGCAGCACTTGGGCCCATGCCACCTACAGAACAGACCCAGGTGGAGCTCCTAGCTTCTGCTTGGGCTCCTACTTGTTGTGACCATTTGGAGAGTGAACCAGCAAATGGAAAATATTTATCTCTGTCTTTCCCTCTCTTGATCCATTGCTTTGCCTTTCAAGATAAACAAATTTTTAAAAAAGTAAAGAAATGGCATTGAGAGTGGACTAAAGGAATTTCATAAGGAAAATTCAAGAATATTTCTGAATATAACTATTGAGATGTTATTAAATTTGTGTTTTGACAAATAAAGTTGTGTCACATAGTGGTAAGATTGGTCTCCTGGATAGTTTGTATTTAGATTAACATTAGCTACTGTAACAGACTCCAGAATTCCATGTAGCACACTTAAGTAGCTATTAGAAACCTAATACCCAGAATTTTTACAGGGGCTTGGTAACTATCCAGCTCCAGATGAGTCTAAATGATGATAGGACCCAGAGATGAAGGAGCCACAGGTTAGATGGATACAGTTAGGTGGGCACAGGCCCCTTGCTTGGTGATTCTGGAACCTCTTTCCATACACCTGTGGGGTCCATCATCATCTGGATCTGTTCCTTCCCGTACAGCAGCCACTTGCTACATGTGGCTGTAAAGCCTTAAAATACTGCTATCCTGGGTGAGGTGTGCTATAAAGTATAAAATACACCCTAAGTTTTGAAGACTGAGTACAGTTTTTTAAATGTAAAAATATAGCATAACTAATTTTTATATTGATTACATGTTGACTAATAACCTTTTATATATTAAAATTATCTCACCTATCCTTTTTACCATTTTATTTGTAGCTACTAGAAAATATTAAATTACATAGTTTCATTTTTTAAATGTTTAAATTATTTGAAAGGTGGAAAGAGATATTGCATCTACTGGTTCACTCCATTAAAGCCACCAGTAGCTGTGGCTAGACCAAGCTGAAGCCAAAAGTCTGGAACTCAATCCAAGTCTCCCAGCTAGGTGGCAGAGACCCAAGGACCTGAGCCATCACTTGATGCCTCCCAGGATAGCATTATCAGGAAGCTGGAGTCTTAAGTGGAGCCAGGACTCCACCACCCAGTCACTTTAATATGGAATGCAGGTGTCCAAGGAGCATCTTAACTGCTGGGCCATATTCCCTCACCTCTTTTATAGTTTTATAGAAAAAGGCTTGGCTCCTTGGTGGGAATTGGTCATATGGCCTTATCTAAATGTGCAGAAGCTGAGAAAGGTCTTTCCTACGTGGACAGCTACTTCTGCATAGATCTTGGTGTTCAGAATAAGCATTCCTCTCTCAAAAACACTTAAAAATGAGGGAATGTTAGTCTTGGTCAGGTTCTTGTGAAAAATTAGAATGCAGGAAAATCTTAAGGAAATTATCTAAAAACGATGTCAAAGGCATGACTGATTGGTATTAATGTATGTGTTTATGAATGTCATGATACAATTTCAACTCTGTTTCAAGCATGGTTTCTCAACTTTGGCATTACTGGCATTTGGGGCTAGAGTTTGCTGTGGGGGCTGTCCTGTGCACTGTGGGATATTCAGCACTGTCTCTGCTGGTACCCACTAGAAGGCAGTATCCCTCCTAGCACCCCCCCCCCCAAGCCACAGCTTGTTAATCAAAACTCTCTAGATTTTGCCAGAGCTACTTTGAAGGGCAGGATTGCCCAGTTAGGAACCACATGTAGGAGCAGGATTGTGGCACGAAGTTAAGAGGCTACTTGGGATGCCAACATCCCATATTGGAGTGCCTGGGTTGAGTTCTGGCTATTTCCTATGCCAGCTTCCACTAATGCATGCCCTGGGAGGCAGCAGGTAATGGCTCAGGTAAGACCCAAATGGAATTCCATGCTCCTGGTTGCAGCCTGGCCCACCCCCACTATTGCAGGCATTTAGGGAGTGAAGCAGAAGATAGAAGATTCTTCCTATCTTTCAAATAAATGAAAATTTTTAAAAATGGGGAATCATTGATAAAAACTGTAGCATCAAAAACACTGTAGCATAACAAAATAAAGGCAACATATTTTTTATTTTAATAGCTATGCCACAATTTAAAAAAAAAAAAAACTTATCTATTTTAAAGTCAGAGATCTTCCATCTGCTAATTCACTCCCCAAATGGCCACAATGACCAAGGATAAGTCAGGTTGAAGGGTCTCCCACATTGGTGGTAGGGGCCCACGCATTTGGGTCATCTTCTGCCAGTTTTCCCAGGCTATTAGCAGGGAGCTGGATTTAAAGTGGAGCAGCCATAACACAAACTGGTACCCAGGGGCCAGGACTGTGGCACAGTATGTTAATCCTCCACCTGCAGGGCCAGCATCCCATATGGGCACTGGTTCTAGCCCCAGCTGCTCCTCTTCCCATCCAGCTTTCTGCTATGGCCTGGGAGAGTGGTGGAAGATGGCCCAAGTCCTTGGGCCCCTGTACCCGTTTGGGAGACCGGGAAAAATCTCCTGGCTTCAGATAGGTGCAGCTTCAGCCATTGCGGCCTTTTGGAGATTGAACCAGAGGAAGGAAGACCTTTCTTTCTGTCTCTCCCTCTCACTGTTGGTAACTACCTCTCAAATAAATAAATTAAAAATCTTAAAAAAAAAAATGGTACCCATATGGGATGCTGGCATCGCAGGTGGTGGGTTTACCGCTATGCCACAATGCTGGCTCCTTTGCCACAATTAAAGAGAAAGTATTTACATAATTGCAGTTTATAGGAGATTGCCTGTAAAGTTAACTTCTGCAAAAAAAAATTAAAAATCCTGTTTTCCACTCAGTTCAGGAATGTATCACTGAGGGAAGAAATCCAACATGGGATAAACTGCAAGTATTTGGTGAGGAAAGGACTAAGACAATAGGTTCCTGGCTCATGACTAATTTTCAAGTTGAGAAAATATCTCACAAAAAATGGGCTTCAAGTTACTTTCAGTATTAATATTTTAGAAATAGCAAATGGGTGCCTTAGCAACTTGGTGAAGTTTATGTTCTTCCTGTTGCATTTTCTGTCTTGGAAAGAGCAACTGCATCCTCTCAGTGCTCAAGCCAAAGGGACTGGGGTTATCTTTGATGTCTCTCCTCATAGCTCCCGTCAGCAAATCCTGTCAGCCACGCCTTCAGATACCTCCAGCATCAGATCTTTATCAACCATGAGGGATTTGCCTTTTAACCTTTATTTAATTTCCCCTGAAAGTGTATTAGATGGTGGAACAATAAGAGGTTATCTTATCGTAGAGATTATTTTAATTTCTTTTGCAGGTGAAGAAAGCTAAGGTATATCCATCCCTGTATATTTTTGTGACATGTACAGGTCTTATTATTAGTAAATGTGGAATTGGAACTGTGAGAACTGAGCTTTGGCTTCCATTGCGTTTCCGCAGTGGCTGTAAAGCAGACTAGTCTGCTGAGTTACCTTACAGAGTGGAAATGTAACTGGAGCTCTGTCACAGCATGGGTACTGAACTGTTTGACAAGTTTTTATGAACAATCAGAATGTCTTTCAAGGATTTCTGTTTGAATTTGTTTATAGTATTTGTATATAAGCAAAGAATAATATATAACTTGTGATTTTGTCATTTCCTCAATCCTGTCTACTTAAGCTTCTAGCATTTCAAGTACTCATAGGGCTCTGCTTTTTACAAAATGTACTTTATTTGCTCGAGTAACAGGAATGTCCTCAAGTATTTCCTTAACGCTTCCTGTAGCATGGTTTTTCATTAACAAATTTATTTAAACTTTTAGTGCAATAATCCCAAAACAAAAGAACCCAAACTAAAAGCTGCAGCCAGGATTATCCCAGAATGGGTGGAGTATGACACTGAGATACGCCAACTGTTAGATCAGCTTGAAAGCAAGAAGAAAAATGCAAGTAAGTCATCATGCCCTGGTTGGTCACTCTCAGATACCTGGAGACCTTAACTGTTTCTATGTTTAATGAAGGATTTCAATATCGATAGCTGACAAAGGTTTCCTCTGTAATGAGCATGCATTTCTCCAGCAGGCTTCTACCCTGAGTGGGAGGGTTAACTGGTAGCTGTCAGTACTTAGGCATGCTATACACCTGGCAGGCTTTCCTCTAGGTAGGTGTATGGAGAAGGAACAGATCAAAGCCCATCCCATACACCACCACCAGAGTCCCAAGTGAGGGTGCTTTACTCAAGAGCATTGAGACCTTTTCAAAAATCTTTGCCTCTCTCTCGCTATCCATTCCTCTCTCAAAAACAGGCTTCTCTATTTGGAATAAATAGCACGTTATCAGTTTCTCTCTGGGACACAGAAGACTCAGGCGCCAACATGTGCAGATTTTCTAGACAGGCTGTCACTTAACTGCCTCGTGGTCTGAATCACTACCCAATGGCTGTCTCTGTTAGGAGGCTTTCTCAAGCTCCCCCATCAGGAAAGGCAACTGTTGGGCCCAGCCCCATATTTGGGGGTAAAGTGGTTTTATGTCTCAGTATTCTCCTGTTTTCCATTTCTGGAAATTTATTGGTAACTGTGCTCTCACAGGGTTTCATAACCACTTCCCTCATCTCTGTTGTTACGTTCTTTTATACTTATTATCTTTATAGTGGGATGTAGTGAGGAGTGAAGCTTCTTCTGCCATCTTGAATTTTGTAACTGGATGAATTAAAATGATATTTTCAGTCAAATTAAAACTTAGAGTTCTCTTGAATCAGTCTATGACAGCTCAGTGATGCAGAAGGAGAAGCAACCATGTTGGTCTGTAAGAATATTCAGTAGAGTTGATCTCACGTTTGTATCACATCTGCATCTGAGTGCTCTGTCCCACTATCATAGAAGATCACAACTTTGAGCATGGGAAGTAATCTACTAGTATTCCTCAAAGCCTCCATTGTCAGACAGGGTGCTAGATACTACAGATAGCAGAAGTAATACGTTCCTTGTACACATAGTCATAGGAGCTGACACTCTAGGAGGAAAAATGGTAGTTAAGATGCAGTATAATAGATACTAGCATATACAAAGTGCTTGTTTCATGTCACAGAATGAATCATATAGATACTGGGAGAACAAAGGGCCCTTGGACAACACATTGGCTTTTTTCTGTATCACTCACCTTGGTGACATTTAAGCTAATTTTATATTTACAATTTCAAGAACTAAATAAACTTTCCCTTCCTACAGTTTTAGCTCATGATGAACTCTAGCACTGGTTTTATAAGAAGATGAAAGTATGACAAGACACCTGCCGCTTGCTGGAGAAGTGTGGAGCTACTGATAAGACTGTGGAAGTTTTATTAGATCAGTGACATACTGTTCAGTTTTAAAAATCTCATTAAGTACATGCATTTTAAATAAGTTTAATTTATGTAAGAAATGACAATTGAGTATTTATTCATTTTTCTTGATTGCTTAAAACACTGTATTTTTACCAGTTAAAATTTGATGTTCTGCCAGATAATCTCATAGAAAGTATCTAACTAGCTGGTCCTTTTCCATGTTTATCAAGTTATCCATATCCAATTCCAGCTATATGTGCACCCATATTTTCTTATTTATAAAATTATTTAAAATCAGAGAAATCTATTGTTTTGTTTTGAGAAAAAAAAAGACTTGGTTATCTCTGAATAATAAAAACTAAGTCCATTTATGACTTAACTACTGTTTTAAAATGGATGTTGCACTGTAATTGTTTATCTTAAACCGTATGTTTTAATCTTGTGCTGTATTTGTACTTTTAATATTTTTAATTCTATTTCATGATGTCCATGGGTATATATGTTTATATCCATGGGTATATATTTTTTTCTAAAAATGACTACTTTTATAGGAACTCAGTTAAGAATGTAAATAATTTGTTTCCATTATGTATTAATAGATAAATAGCAATCGTATATATTTTTAAACTATCCAGATACTCTAGAATCATACAGAATGGGAGCTAGAAGCAGCCTCAGTACCATTTGGAACCTCATCCCCAGAAGAGTCTGAAGTGGACTTGGGAAATCATGATTCTGCTGATAAGTCTGAGAAACATAAGTTTACCCAAGTCCCACCTGAACCCATATGTGCCAGCCTCCCTTACAAGGTTCCATCATGTACTTCCTCAGGCCATCTTCTAAATCTGCAGGGCAACAAAGAAATCCTTACCTCAAAAGATAGCCAGTCCATCTTTGGAGAGCTCTGCACAGAGTTCCAAATAAGCCTGAAGCTACCCACTGATAGTCTCTGCTCTTACTCATTTGAGTTCTTCATACCTATGCTAATCCTCTTAGACGTCCCAGCAAAACCCAGAGTATTTCCCCAGCAGCACCATTCATTGATTCATTGCTACTAAGGGATCACCTACCCTCCTCTCCCCTCTGTGCATCCTCCCTTTGTTACTTGTCCATGTTTGTTTGATAAAATACAGGATTTAGGTGCGGCCTACTCTTGGGGAACTAGATCATTCCTGTGGATTCAGAGGATCCTACAAGATGCTCCTGAAGGCAGGAGAAGTAAATTGGCCTGGGTACCAATTCCATGGAGCTTTCTGGCTGGCTCCTCTTCAGAGTATCAGCTAAGAGACTCTGGCCGGCTCCGTGGTGCAGTAGGTTAATTCTCCACCTGCAGCACCGGCCTCCCATATGGGCGCCGGTTCTAGTCCTGGCTGCTCCTCTTCCGATCCAGCTCTCTGCTATGGCCTGGGAAAGCAGTAGAAGATGACCCAAGTCCTTCGGTCCCTGCACCAGCAAGGGAGACCGGGAAGAAGCTCCTGGCTTTAGATCGGCGCAGTTCCAGCTGTTGCAGCCATTTGGGGAGTGAACCAACAGAAGGAAGACCTTTCTCTTTATCTCTCTCGCTAACTCTACCTCTCAAATAAATAAAATCTTTAAAAAAAAAAAAAATTACCTGGAGGCCTGCCCAGGTGCTTATGGCAGAATCCCTTGTCAGCTGATATTTTGCTTTCTGTTATTTCCACTTCTGTAACTCTTGTGAGGAAAGAGGAGCTGGGCACACACCTGATTCCCAACTTCATTACCAACAGCCACCTTCTCCAGCATCCTGGGTTCCATATTGCGTAAGTAAAGCTAAAGTTACAGAATAATGTAAACATAATCTCAGTGGCTCCCCTCCTTGTTGACAGTCTTATTTGAAGAGCTAAATTTACATGTCTCATTTCCAAAGGCATGATAACAAAACCGATTTATAAGTGAGCTATTTCACTCCAGGGGGACTTGAAAAATGCTATATTTAAAAACCTGTTATGCTGAACTATCAGTACATACAAACTGTTTTGCCTTACAAAAATCTCCCTCTCAGGAGCCTTTTACGAAACTGACCTACAGCGCTAGCTGGAATAGGTGGCAACACTGGAGAAATTTCCAGTGATGCTTACCTAGGGGGGTGCTCTACAAAGAAAGCAAGAGGGCCACCTTTCGGATCCAGAATTCTGTTTCTCAGACGCAGGACCCATATCAAGTTTTTATAAAAATCAGGATGGGGAGGTGGTAGGGAGGAAGACACCTGTTTCTTAATGATCAAAAGTTCTCTCTCCCCTTCCCCTTTCTTTAGAGAGAAGCGTCAGATCCAGCAACTTATCGAAGCTGAGAATGAGGAGTTTGAGCTTGAACTGTAATGACAGGTGAGTTTGCAGCTGAAGCAGGCCCAAAACGTGAGGCTGAGGGCAACCAGTCTTCGTACCACTCCAGCTGCTTCAGTGTAAAACATGTTATTTAGGAAATGCTCTTCATTTGGCCCACTTACCCTCAAGTTCTTTTTTTTTTTTTTAAGGATTTTTAAAAATTTATTTGACAGAGTTATAGACATTGAGAGAGAGAGACTGAGAGAGGTCTTCCCTCCATTGGTTCACTCCCCAAATGGCCACTATGGCCGGCGTTGCGCCAGTCTGAAGCCAGGTGCTTCCTCCTGGTCTCCCATGTGGGTGCAGGGCCCAAGTACTTGGGCCATCCTCCACTGCCCTCTCGGGCTACAGCAGAGAGCTGGACTGCAAGAGCAGCAACTGGGACAGAATCCGGCGCCCAGACCAGGACTAGAACCCAGGGTGCCAGCACCGTAGGCAGAGGATTAGCCAAGTGAGCCAAGGCGCTGGCCCCAACCCTAAAGTTCTTAAAGAATATTCATGGCTCCCAAAAGGATAGAATCAAACACTGACAGAAAGCATCACAGGCTATGTCAGTCTGAAGTTACAGATAAAATCAAACTTTAATATTAAACTGTTGTTTGGCACATGAGTGGCAGCAGCCTTAAAAAAAATGGTTTCTCCTCTGTGTCAAGTCCTCCCTCCGGTGACAGAGACGCAACCAGACAGGAAGCAGCCACCATCCAGGAAAGGCTCCAGGAACCCAAGCAGAATCACTTCGTAGGCAGAGGTGGGTGAGTCAGAGTCCTTCTGTCTCTAAAACATGGTTAAGAGAACTTTCATCTGTGAGGTGCAGACTTTATCACAGACTCTGACCTCTGTGTGCACTGATGGCTCGAGAGAGCAGGGGAGAATGTGCTCAGCAAGCAGAAGTGTCCGTGTAGCCCCAGCCACTGATGTTGCCTGGCGTAATAGGCTTAAGGGGATGTACTCAATTCCAGAGAGCCGATGGGGTGATTAAAATCTTAACCTTTGGTGGCAAAATGAGGGAGGGAGAGACATAAAAGGAAGGACTTTGAAGCCTGAAGTCCACATTCCAATCAACCTTGTGATTCAGAGGTGTTTGGTAAGGTATGCACGCCCATCCTGTAACGACTCTTCTGTGATATCTTTAAGTGTTGTGGTAACAGGAGTGCTAGTCCCCATTTTGTGTTTTATTAAGCCAATTTATCATATGTAAATTTGAATCATCTGGGAAATTCTGGAATGAAGCTAGATTTCAGATTTGGAAACTAATCATATCCTCTTCAGTTCATAACTATTTGAATTTAAGAAGTTTTACTTCTAACTTGTGGAACTATCTAACTAAAGTTTGTATCCACCTGAAGTGATTTTATTTTAGAAATAGGAAGTTTTCATTAGAATTCAAGGAAGAAAAATTACTCGGATTTCAAAACAGTGGCTCAAAATCCTAAAGAAGTGACACCCAGGATTAAATCAGAAGTAGGAGCAAACATTAGCAAAGCAAGGAAGAAGAGTATGGAAGAAATTTTGTTCATTTAAGCACGGAGGGTCCCGCGAGGCTGGAGCCAGAGTGGATAAGGTCTCGCAGGAGAATTTATAAACCATGTGAAGAGCCTCAGTGATTTGAGCCTCAAGTGTTGGTGAAGGGCTACTGCCCGTTAACATAAACGCAAAGCTACTTGGTGGATACTTTAATGCCTGCACTTTCCCTTAACAGTTACATCATTCATCACCTCAGTACTTCGCTGTAGATTTGCCAGCGCCACTTTCCTACACTGCACATCTAAAATAAATTTCTCCTGTTCCAAGACCCTGCATGTCAGCATACCATACTTTATGTATTAGGAGGAAGAGATGCAATTTTGTTTGCACAAAAATTGTACAATTGTAGGATGAAGCCTTCCCACTTGAACAACCTGTTAGTAACTTAAGGTAACAAAGGCACTAGCATTGCAGAAAACAAAATACTGCAACAGGTGGCAATGCAAAGTGAAGGAACACTAATAAAATCCTAAGGAAAGTATGACACAGATGTTAGGGGAGTTACCTTTGCTATTTCTTACAACATCCTTCATACACTAGAGAGAAATCTTTTCAGGTCAGCTAGTTGAAGGGAAAATATCCTTTTAACTGCACATATGGTACATCATGCTCTAGGATATACCTACAAAAACCTGTAATAGAGAAATCTGCAAATACCAAAAAGACTTAGAACAGCTGAAATCTAGTAGTCAACGCCTTAGGCAATCGTTTCTCCCTCATGTTTTTTAACAATGTTTAATTGAGGAAAGCAGAATGACCTTGGACTAACCTACCCAGTGGCCCTTCCAAGCCAGGGACTACCACAGCCAAGCTGATGCTAATCCCTGTACACTGACCCTTGCCTGTGCTGTTCAAAACAGACCCTGCAACCTGAATGTTCTGCCGGTGCATACTGTTTCTTTTCTCATACAGCTGGTACCAAAAAAGGAACTGCTTAGCAGAAAAAGCGTTGCAGAGTTCCAGGTCTCTGGAATATGAACTGTAGCCCTTAAGCTTAAAATGACTGGAAGCACAGATTTAGGCCTGGGGCTGGGGTAGGGAGGAAGAAGAGATTAGTGCTTGCTAAGCGATTCTGGGAAGGTAATCTGGGCCTTCCCTCCTCGTGTCTCAGCAAACTTCATTCCTGTTGTCCATGGTCATGCCATCTGCAGACTAAGCTGACCTCACCTCTCAGTACCTTGCACACAGCAAAAATGATCCAGCTAAGAAGTGCTGAGAAATAACACCTACTTGAAAATGTGATGCCAATACTTGATATACACCTGGTTAGATGTAAGAAACAGTATCTACCTGCAGATTCAACCAACCAGAGGTAGAATATATTTTGGGAAAAAATTCTATCTGTACTAAACACATGCAGACTTACTTTCTGTCATTTATAACCACTTACATAGTACTATACTGCCTTAGGCATCATAAGGAATCTAGAGATGATTTAAAGTATGGCAGCATCTGAGTATCCTTGAACTTCCTGGAACCCAGTCCCCTTAGATACTGAGGGATGAAGGACTGTATTGCCAAGAGCTCAAGAGAATCACGAACGATTTGCAAAGCTGTCACTCTCTTGGTAAAGTTCTATATAAATTTATTTGTTCTAGCTTTCCTTGAGCCTCAGGATATGCAAAATATGAGACTGCTGATGGCTAGAAATGTGGCAGACAAGCTGCAGTGCTCTTCCTGAGCCCCAGGACCTCCACAGGAATGCCCAAGTGGACTATAACGAAGTCTTCAAACAAAGCCAGTTTAAGTGCTAGACTGCGATGTGGAAGGCCACTTAATTCAGTCCTGTCTTAAACCTTTAGGGGCTGAGAGATGGTAGCCATTCCTGCTTTTGTGCTCTGACCTTCCCTGTCAGCTGTGTGTGTGAAGCAAAGTTGGAAATAGATAGTTTGTAGAAAACAAAATACTGCAAAAAACCTGAAATCTATTTGGGAAATTAACATTATAAAAGAACACCCAGGAATTTCAAAACTTTTCAATCCCCTAATAGAAACCTTATAATTTCTTATACTTGAAGACTAAACATGAATTGACAGAAAGTACTGATATGACCATAAATATTTTTATTAAATGTGAAAATACACGGGCATAAAAATAGTACCCTTGTAGACATGTCTGAGACCCATTTCAAATAATTTTAATTCCTTTTTTATTAAAATACTAAATAGAAATGGATCAAATTACTTGCTCTTATTCAAAACAAACTATAAACTTACAATAAAAGTAGTATTTTCACTTCTGGAACATCTCCAATTGTCACTTCTTCCAAGCTCTGCTTTCCACTGCAGGTAGGTATTTCAACCGCACACAAGAGAAAACCTGTTACTACACACAAAGCCACGCAGTGGCTAATTTTACTCTCAAATCATTCAGTAAATGGGATTATCTGTTTAAAACAAAATTATTCCTACCTAACATCATTGGAAATTACAGCATGAACTCTGCCACTAGCAAAAAAGGAATAAGAATATTGGTTGACAAATTAGCATTTGCCTTCCTCTTTCCTTTATAAAAATGGAAACAAAGTTGTATGAGTTTTTCTACATTAGCCCCAGGATGTGTACTCAAGTGAAAACTTTGTACTTCACCAGTGCCTGTGTCTGTAAAGCAGTCTGCTCCCACACAGAGCCAGCTGAGGAGCCATTTTTAACTTTATCCTATGTACTGTCTTCATGGTAAATGCCAAATACAAGTTCGGACCAATTTCATGCCTTAATTTAAAGGTATAATTATTTTATTACACACCATGAATAGAAAATGACGCCCATTTCAATTGTGACTGTACTGGCCTTTTTCTATCCTTGGTTATCAGTGATTTTTTTCTCCTTAAAAAAAACCTATGGATAGTTTTTAGATTTCATTATCAGAGTTCCAAAAATGTCTGCTTTCATACTGATATTTAAAAAATTCTTTTAACAGTGAAGAAAAAAGAATTTTAAAATTAATATTGTTATATCCAGTTCACGTCAATAAACTACTGAAATTGCTTTCAAATCAAAAATGGATAAAATTTCATTACCAAGAAATGCATTGTTTAGTCACCCTTTTTTAGAACTTCATACACACATTTGAAGTACATTATTATGCTGCTGTGTTTAAATATTTGCTGTCATAGGAAATATCCACAATTTACAAATCAATCATCCCGCACTCACAGAACTGAGCAGAAAGGAATATAACTGAATATAAAATAGCCAAGGCTAGCTTATCCTCCGATTTTTCCCAAAAGAGCCATGAAGTTACCTGGCACTTGCAGTCCCCCAAAACAGAGCTGAAAGCGTTAGCAGTCCCCCAGCAAACAGTGAAATTCTTTCCCAGTTAGTTAGGTGTTTTGCATTGCATAATATCCTGGGTGAGGCAGGTAGGACTTTCTTTCTCAGTTGCTGTTTTAAGGCAAGCATGGGGTGACCATCTTCCCGTTCAGATGGATACCAGAAGGTTGCTGATGGCTGCACGCTGACTTTTTCCTTTCTTCATCAATCAGAAAAACAACAGATTACAGAGAATTCCTTTCCCTCCATGGCATTGGCAGTTGGCACTATAATGTCTCCTTTCTCGTCACTGAAAACAGGTAAGTAACTCCACATTTCTGTTGACTAAATTAAATCCACATGAGACTTGAGGAGCAATAATTAAGGTTGTATAAAGGGGAGGGAAGAAATGTTAACACCCTGAAGAGAAGCAGCAAGGCCTGTACCCACCTCCACTGTTGCCCAGCTGCCAACCATCCCCAGTGCCTTCTGGCCTAGACAGTGTTTCACCTTCCCCAAAAGGAAGGGCAGAGGGTCACCCTTCATCTGCTCTATCTGTGTGAAAACTCTTGTAGGTAGAAGCCATAGCTGTATTTCAGAGAGGTCAGTGACAGAGACAAAAGAAACCAAATTGCAAAAAAAAAAAAAAAAAAAAAAAATTATTGATACAACTAAGAAATAATTAAGATTAAAGAATAGACAAAATGAATTCACCTTAGAAACTGTCACACTGATTTGAATTTTGAGACATTAAAACAAAGTAAAACCTGCAAGCTGTTCACTAAATTTTCAAAATGCAGTGTTAAGTTTATTGGTACAAAACAGACCCCTAAATAAATGCAAAAACACTCAAAGTGTTTTTGCTCAATTCAACTATGTGGTTTTTACCCTTCAGGTAGAAAAAAAAATTTTTTTCCATACATATTTCAGGGTATGACTATAGCAGAAAAGGATCTGTGCTTGGCTGTTGTAAACATTCATGGTCAAGGTGTCTCCCACAAGGAATTAAAATGCTTGATTTCATAAAAACAATATATTAGACCCTTTAATGCTTAAAACATTTCAGAATGACTTGAGGCAAAAACAAAAACCTTTCCATAATAAAGGTAATAATTCTTAAAGTAATTTTCTTAGATTTTAAGTGCAGCATCAGTAGTTCCATAAATATTATGCTCTAGATCAACATAACACTCACTTTTTAGGGCAAAAATTTTCCAGTATACAAAAACTGAATATAGTTCATTTCTTAGTTACCTTCTTAAAAGGTAAAAAGGTATCTTAAGGAGATGCTGTCTAGTTCATGAAGCAACAGTGGAAACGCAGCCAGAGCTGACTGGATTTCTAAGCCTGTATCTTCTAGGAGGAACATCTAGAGGCAGCAGGTCTGGTGGAGTGAGGGAGTTTCGCTTCACACACACCAGCAAACAGGTCCTGTACAGGAGGGCTGGGCCTGGATGTAGGAGGAGAAACAGAAACTCCTCAAAATTTATGTTGTCTGAGCAATTTACATTTCTAAGCCAATCTTGTTACAGGGGATCTATAAAGGATTCAGAACTTCAGTTGTTGAAAAAGCATTTCAATTTTTGCTTCAGCAATATTACTTTAAATTATATCACTGCTATATTATCTGAACCTATTTTACGTATTACTTTTGTTTAATATTAAACAAAAGAGCCCATAGGTTTTTTGTAATTAAGTACTTTTCTGTAGGTACTAAGCCAAAATATGTAGATATGCTTAAAATCAACCCAAAGTCTAAACCTGGATAAACCAACTGCTGGCAGGTTTCCTAACAGATGGCTTCTGCCCTTCTTCAGTGCCAGCCGAGTGACACCAGCAGACGGTGTGAACATGTACAGGGGCACAGGGATTTGACAGATACCTGCCTCTGAGTGCACTCACCAAACTCCAAGCATAGTTGTCCCTAACGACATCCATACTCTCTTTAGGAATACTGAAGCTGTGCTTTCTCATGACGATCACATGTGAAGGCACCGACCTACTGTGCAAGGCCGTGAAAAGAATCTGCCTGCTCCAGGGGAGGAAAACACCAGCTGTGTGAGCACGTGCACAGGTGCGCTGCCTCCAACAGCTGCTTCCAGACCCTCCCCCACACGCACAGGCTCTCAAACACAACCGCCCCTGGCAATCGCAGACCTTCTGTCTGAATGAATAAGAACAGACTTTTCTTATTAAAATAACTCTTTGGTCACGGACAAACTGAAATGCGTGAATTTTTTTTTCATTAGGATCCCAGAACAAGGTTTCTTTGTTTTTAATCTTTAAAAATATTAAGGAAGAAGAGCAGAAAAATGGTTTAATTGAAGTGGAATTTGAATCTAAACGGTCCGCCGGAGCTGAAGGGATTGAACCCCTGCCACGAGTTCCAGCTCCTGTGGAAAGGGTTGCCGCCGCCTCCTTGCTGGCTCTCCGCATCCAGGGGGTCTTCTCCGTCATCGAACTTCTTCCGCATTTCTAGGAAAAAAATCAGTAAATGAAGACCCAGGTATTCTAACGGGGGGGGGGGGGGGGGGGGGGTACGCGGGGGTTAGGCTGTTAACAACACAATTGTGCCTGACGTTGAAATCCACGCTGTCTGCCCCAGAAGAAACAGACAAGAGAATAGGTTCTGGGTCCCTAAATCTCACCTCAGAAGCAGCTACCTAAGCTTGTCAGCTGTGCAAGTGAAGTCTTCGGAAAAAATAATTCTTGAGGAGAGAGCCTCCAAAAGTCATGCTTCCAAACAGCCATGTCGCCGCCCTAACCCCCAAAACAAAGCCTGCCAGGCAGTGACCTCATTGACCCCCCAACCATCTAGAGCCTCACCATCCAACCTGAACAGCACTGAGCTTTCCTAGGCCCCCTTCACGGCTCAGTTTCCCTCCCGTGAGACCAGTGCAGACACGCGAAGGTCACAGTGAAAGTAGGATCTAGAGGAGTCAGTGTCCTAAGAGCAATTAGAAATGGCTTGTTCATCCAGAAAATACATAATATGAAAAAACTACCCAGGAAAGTGTTACACCAAAAGCTTTTAACTCCACTTTGCAAGAACTTCTGAAGTCTCTCCTCAGAACAGGCACTCGAGTGAAGCACCTGTGGTTCTTTTCCCATTACAGGCATGTGGGATGATGGCCCCAGCCAGCCCCCTGTGGGGAGCTCCTGCTCCCTTAACTCTCAACTCAAGAGGCCCCTCCCCGAAGATGACTCCTGAGTGAAGTCTGATGGAGCTGTGTCATCCCACTGCTGCACAGGCAGGAGGGGCAGAGTCCTCAAGGTGTTAGGTACTGGATATTTGCTGAATAAGAGAACAGACAGTATATATCCTACTGCGCTTAGTAATTTCATTTTTAGCTCCCTTACTAGATTACTTAGAAAAAAAGATCATTTAGAGACAAAACTTGACTTCCTCTTTTTGCTGAATCTGCCTAGCTCAAACCAGAGCTTCTGTTCCCACTGCTGTGGTATCAGCTTAATACTAAATTCTGGAAATGGCAAGGCATTACTCAGTACCACCTCAGTTCTTAGCCCATCTGCATGTGACAATCTGGGCCACAGTAACCATGAAAAGAATACAGGGAGCAGGCATTTAGCTCAGCAGTTGAGAAGCCCACATCCCAGCTACTGCTCCTGGCTCTGGCTTCCCACCAGTAACAGGGTTCTTACCACATGGAGACCAGGCTTGTGCTGTAGCATCAGCTCAGTTCTAACTATTGGAGGCACTCATAGAATAAACCAACAACTGGGAGCTGACTTACAGACACACACTCTCAAACAAAACAAATCTACCAGTAAATCTAATGATCATTTGATTTAGGGGCAAGATTGCTGGAGAACACAGTCATGGCGCTACAGCGGGCCCTGGATTAGCTAAGCTCTCTTCTCCCATCCCTGGGCAATCCAGGAAACATGCTTTCCCCATTAAGCTCCTGTGAGTTCAGTAGAGGGAATCCTCACTGCCTTGTGAACTTAGAAGAAAATTAAAGATAATGTCTTATGTTCAACGTTATGCTGTCATATCACAAGTGAAAAAACTGGAGGCCTGAAAGTTGTCAGAATCAAAATGGAGCTGCCTGTATCCACTCTAACACAAAAACAAGGGCTCTTACAGGCAATTGCTTGATGGTAACTATCACATAGAGTGTGCAGAACCAAATTATAAGAAAAGTACTTCTACAAGGACATCTGCCCACCAGACGTCTGTTCTATCTTGGCCTAATACCGTGTTGCTTATTAATCATGCAGGCCAATCCTCCTCACTACTGCGTTTATCTTTCCTTTGGAGCAGCCACTGTGGCACTGTGGGTTAATCTGCTGCTTGGGACACCCACATATCAGAGTGCATGGCATCAAGTCCCAGCTCCACCTCAGCTTCCTGATAATGCACCTGGGAGCCAGCAGATGATGGCTCAAGTACCTGGGTACCTGCCACCGTGTGGGAGAACCTTGCTCCTGGCTTTGTCCTGGCCCAGCCCAGCCATTGGGAGCATTTAGGGAGTGAAACAGTCGCACAGGATCTCCATGCTCCCACCTCACCACCACCACCACCGCTCTGCCTCTTAAATACATAAAGAAAACTTTTAAAAAAAGGTCTTTCACTTGCCTCAACCTCTGAATATGCATATTATCATAACTGCAGAGCTCTGGAATTCCAATATAAATACCATTATCTTTAGCAAGTGTCTGTGTGTCTCTCTAATTATTATTGTTTTGTTACTTAGCTTAACAAACCCAGGGCTTCTCATTCCACACTGACAGTCTTTCCACTGTACTATACACGTACAGTCCCCAGAATTGGAGACAGGGACAAACTTAAAACCAGCAAGGCCAAGGACCAGTGATCCACCCTCCACTTCTAATGCCGCTTCCAAGAAGGGTCCAAGAAGGGCAAGGATTAGTGATACCACCGATTCCACTATTTGAGAGAAATGAAAGGCCTAAAAGCAATACCTGGATCTGAGAGGACTTCTTTAGCAGCTGCTATATCAATGAACTTTTTCTCTGCTTTTTTCTTTTCTTCTTCATTCTGGAAGTTATCTGGGTGCCACTGTAGGGCTAATTTTCTGTATGCTTTAATGATTTCTTGTTTTTTGGCATTTCTGTGGGATGGTAAAATTAATTGACAATCATTTAAAAAGTATCCAACACACTGTCTTAAAATTAGAAGAGCCAGGTTAAGATGGCACTGGGAATTTACAGCCGAGTTTCCCTTGTAGTTCCAATGGCATCAAAGGGCAAAGGTTCACACACAGTAATGAAGAACAGAATCTCACCAGGAAGCAAGTTAACTGCTACTGATTTTTACAATGTCCTCTTAAAAAGTTTTTTTCCATTTTTCTTTCAGAATTTCCAAACTACCATGATTCAGTTCTTTCTTGGCATTAAAACATACGACAAGTTGATAGTTCAACGGTCAGGGAAGGTATGTCTTATATAAAAGCACATACTCGACAGATTAGATACCTCAGTGTCTGCAAGTTACTTCTAGAAGTGCTACTTTATTGTTAGGCCTAGAGAAGGGTTTCCTTTTCTCCAGCCCCTCCCTCCCTCCTTCCTATCCCCACCAGAACAAAATTCTCTCCCATTTCTTTACCCTTCTTAAAAAACATAAGCCTGGGACCTATTCATGATAGTCTTCCTCACCAAATAATTTTCTGGCATTGCATTACTAGTCTCTGTCAAAGACATTTGCCTGTAATGTATTCAAAATAGCTTTATGATGTTAAAGATTGTTAGTAACAATTATAGAAGTACAGGAAATCAATCAAGGAGAGAAAAAAATCAACGATTAGTTTTACAACAGTTAAGTAAAAATAGCAATGCAAATTTGAAATTCACCTTTTTACTCCCAAGATTTTATAATAATCTCGTTTCTGCGACTGTTTCAATAGTCTTTGTGCTTTCTCTAAACCTTCCCGAATCTGTTGATCATTTTCATTGTGTTCCTGAGCTGTTTCATAATCCTGAATAGCTGTCAAAATAGGTTTAAGATAATGCTGTTAGGGGGACTAGTCATTCGTTTCCTTTACGTATCTTGCAAGTTAATACCAAAATCATCATCCCAACCCCTTCAGTCCTTCACCATCACTGTTAAAAGCCTAAATGATAACACTTTGCAATTTTGTTCAAAAACTTTAAAAAGGCATAATCAAGACTGAATGTAGGTAGTATATTATTCCCATTCAACAAAATTCACTGTTTACTTGCCCACCTCCCACATTATCTGCCCATATCTTCAAGTCATTTTAATATCAGCACTTTATATAGAACAGTCTTACTGTACAACAGTGCCTAACTAAATCAGCATGGTCAGCTAAGGATCAACAATTCAAAGTGGAGGTTAGAAAGGGAGCAATCACTGTCAGTAGTCATAATGACAAAGTTAACCACGGGGTTCAACACCAACAATCATATGCTTTTCTTTTAAGTGTCAACCAAAACAGAAAAACACATACCCTACTGGCATCGGAAGTCTGATGACAATCCACATGACATGTTTCAGAGTATTTTAAATATTTAGAAAGGACAAAGCATCTGGGTATCTAATATCAGGTAGAAGAGTCATCAGGTCACAGCAGGCCTTCTCAGACTTATCCTTAGACTGGTCTACTGGCCAGGATGGCACCTGACTGATATCAGGGAGGTTGGACTTCAGCAATGTTCCCACATTCTCTTACTCTGCTGGGAGGCATAAACGTCTGTGTGCTCGAACAAGCTTCACTACACTGTACACGTGTTATGAGATTTCCCCTTGTTTAAGGAACTCAGCTTGTCTTATATGACCTCATAGGGAGAAGATTCTTGGAATATTTTGGCTAGTTTCCTCTGTAGAAGTGAAAATTAAAAAAGGAGCACAAGGAAGGAGAAATGGGGTGAAAAAGACAACAAAAAGAGATGGAAATAAAAGTTTAAAGGACTAGAGAAAAAGAAATCACAGTTAAAGATGACAGGAAAGGAAATACATTCCATGTGTAACTTGGGTGTAGAAAACCAAACCAACTGAAGAGGACAACTAAAATGAAAGATGAATCTATAGAGAGAAGGCATACAAGGTGCCAGGGCAATTCAGCTTAGAATGGTGAACACTAAAACATATCCTAGCACAATTAACAGACTTGAAATAAAAAAGCTGCCTGTGTGGCAAGACCAAAACAAAAAAATCCTGGTGCCAGATTGTCCATTGCGGGGCCAACACTTTGGCACAGCAGGTTAAGCCATGGCTTGAAATGCTGGTATCCTATATTGGAGTGCTGGTTTGAGTCCTGGCTGCTCCACTTCCAATCCAGCTCCCTGCAAATGCACCTGGGAAAGCAGAAGATGGTCCAAGTACCTGGGCCCCTGAAACCCAGGTGGGAAACCCAGATAGAGTTCTAGACTCGTGCCTTGTTCTGCCCCGCCCCTTGGCCATTGCAGCCATTTGGGAAGTAACCCAGCAGACGGTAGATCTCTTTCTCCGTCTTTCCCTCTGTGTCATTCTGCCATTCAGATAAATAAATCTTAAAAAGGAGATTTTTCTTGGCAATATTCAGTACCTGAAGAATTGTAACAATGCCTACAGGATGTACAAAAGTAGGAATAAAACAATTTGTTATCCTGACATGCCATCCGTCAAGTTGAAAAGGTACAGTCTTGAATACAGAATAAATCAGGGAAAACTTTCTCAAGGAAAACTCCACAGTTTTCCTCAAGAAACTGCCACAGCATGAACTCACCAAGAGATGGCTGGAGAAACAATCACCAAAGGAGGGATGGCACACACTGCATCTGTTCCATTTGGCATGGTTTGGCTGTGGTTTGAGTGTGTCCCCCAAAGGCTCATGTGCTGAAGACTTGGTCCTCTGTGTAGTAATGTGAGAGGAACTAAACTTGTAAAAAGTGGGAGGTCACAGGGGGCACTGCCCACAGAAGAAATTTTTTGTGAGACCCTGACTAGTTCTTGAGAGTTGTTTTTAAAAGCACTCTTTGGCTTCTTGTATCACCATGTGATCTTTCTTCTCGCACACACTCCTGCCATTATGCCATCTGCCATAGCCTGATGCAGGAAGGAGTGCCCTTGTCAGAATGGGCACCATATTGTTTAGACTTTGAGCCTCCCAAACTGTGAGCTAAGTAAACCTCTTTTCTTTAAAAAGTACCCAGCCTCAAGTTTTTTGTTATAGCAATGGAAAGCAGACTAAGACTATGTAGAATTGAGACTGGCACTAAGCAGTGAACTGTAGTCACAGAATAAAATTTGTGCCGTGACAGTACAGAAGGGATACCACTAACAAAAAATGAGAAAGGAGATAAAAGATGAGAAAGTCCATTAATTCCCACCTATTACAGCTGAAGCAATCAGAAAACTGCTAAGTAGTATGACCAAGGCAAATCCTAGATAAATTCAAGTATTAAATGGCAGAAAAACAGTAAGGAAAAGAAAGGTGGAAGCACACTGAATTATTTCTCAAGGTAGGAAGCTAGTGGTATTGTACAAAGAGGGCTAAGTAAATAAAACTAAAAAATATCCAGGAGCAAAAATAAAAACTTTCCAGGACAGTACATAAAATAATATAAACCAAACATCAAAAAAATCTAATCAGAAAAGAATGACAGAACACAGATCAAACATCTGTCATATCAACACATGTAAATGTGCTTAATTCCCTAAAAAGAATTTCATATTGGATGAAAAAGCAAAACCCAGCTCTGAAAAAGACACACTTGAAACAAAGAGATTCAAGTATGGCCAAATTTTATGAGACACAAAGTTTGGTTTACAGTCTTAGCAGATAATTGGAGTGGAGGTCAAAAATAAACAGGACATCATAACATTAAAGGCTACAAATGACATTGAAGAAAATGATTCTGACAACAGACATAAAAAAAAAATTAGAAAAGATACTAGGAGAGACTTCCATCTCTCTCTTCTTAATTGATCAAGTTGAACCAAGAAATATCTAGAAAACAAAGACCATAATATAAGATAGAGCTGGCTGACATGCCAAATTGTAGCAAAGAGAACCCAGAATTAAGAAAGTACACCTACTTTTCAAATCCGTACATAAGACTTATGAAGTTAACCGTATTAGATAAAAAAGTGACAAATTCCCCCCCAAAAATGGAATTAGTAAAAACATTCTCTGATCACAAAGTTACATTAGAAATAATAAATCAGAAAAGGAAGAATGTAGAACCCTCCAAATATATGTAATAATAATAATGATGAAAACACAACCTTTCAGCATCTATAGGAGACACAGCAAAACAATGTTGAGAGGACAATTTGGCCTTAAGTGGTCCAGTACAAATTAGGATAAAAAGGAAATAATCATCATCTGAGTCAAAGTTAAAAATCAAAGCTTAATTGTAGGGAAAAATTAAAATAGAACTGGTAAGTCAGAGTTGTTAAAAAATTTTAAATACTTGTAACCTAGACAAGCTCAAAAGCACAAAATAAGACATAAGTGCTGACCATAAAGATGAAGAAATTAAAAGAAGACTGCTTGGGGCTGGCACCATGGTGCAGTAGGTTAATCCTTTGCCTGCAGTGCCGGCGGCACCGGCATCCCTTAGGGGCGCTAGCTTAGTCCCGGATGCTCCTCTTCCGATCAAGCTCTCTGCTGTGGCCTGGGAAAGCAGTAGAAGGTGGCCCAAGTGCTTTGGCCCCTGTACCCGCATGGGAGACCGGGAAGAAGCACCTGACTCCTGGCTTCAGATTGGCACAGCTCCGGCCATTTGGGCAGTGAAGCAACAGAAGGAAGACCTCTCTCTCTCTCTCTTTCTCCCTCTCACTGTCTGTAACTCTACCTCTCAAATAAATAAATAAAATCTTTGGGGAAAAAAAAAAGGACTGCTTTACTAGTATTCCTTAACAAAAGCATTTGAAAATTCAAGAGAATAACTCAAACTGAGCCAAAAAGAGACAAAAAATAAACAGAATATTTTCATGGAGTAAGGATGTCAAAAAGCCACCTGCCAATCAAGCAGCAGGAGTTACATGAAGATGGTTTAAACTTTTAAATAGCAAGTGCTTCCAATACTCTGTCTCCAGAGCACTGACTACAGAAAACTGCTAAATAACTGCATCAAATCCTGACTGACTCTAGTTTATTAACTAGCTATACATAGTACTCTAGGAGTAAAAATCATTTTTCCTCAATTTCTGAGAAGAACTGCAAAGCTATCTTTGGAATCAGCATGATTGATACTACTTTTTGAGACTGCACTTTTGGCAAAATGAAAAAAATTCTAGGGGCCAGTGCTGTGGCTTAGTGGGTAAAGCTGCCATCTGCAGTGCTGGCATCCCATATGGGCACCGGTTTGAGTCCTGGCTGCTCCACTTCTGATCCAGCTCTCTGCTAAGGCCTGGGAAAGCAGTAGAAGATGGCCCAAGTCCTTTGGGCCCCTGCACTCGTGTGGGAGACCCAGAAGAAGCCCCTGACTTTGGATCAGCACAGCTCTGACCGGTGTGGCCATCTGAGGAGTGAACCAGTGGACAGAAGACCCCCTACCCTCCTCTGCCTCTGCCTCTCTGTAACTCAGCCTTTCAAATAAATAAATAAATCTTAAAAAAAAAGAAAAAAGAATCTGCAAACAATGAAGACATGATGGAGGAGGAGGAAGGAGATGGGGAGGCCAAGGGAGAGAAGAAGAAAAAAATGCAGAAAGGCAATGAAAGACGGCAGAAGGATATCTTCACAAAGAAAGTGGATTTCATTTACATAAATAGTTTACCAGTAACAATCTCAGATGTCTTCAGTAAGACAGAAGGATAGATTTCTTCTGGCAAAAAGAAACGGCAACTCTAGTGTAGAATCAGGTTGCTTACCAACACGTTCCTACTATAAAAGAGAAACATGCTAAACACACAGTGTGGATTCAGACAAACAACTTGACCCTGTGGCTCCACATTCATGATATATTACTCTACTAAATGGCTTCCACAACCTAACTATCCACAACTGTAGAGGACAGAATTTAAATATCATAAACTCTGTAAATGTAAAAATATACTAACTCATGTTTAGGGAAAGGAAGATGGAAATTTACCAGTTTGCTTATTATGAGTAGTATAAAATCCGTAGATACTGTGTAAAAGATGATGGAGCGAGAAACAGATTTAGGCATACTATTAATTTATATAACATTAAAACTAAATATAACTAGGAATATTTTACTGTACCCAAACCAGAGTTTGTGGAAAGAACAGAACTAGAAAAGCCTACTTAATGTTTCCTTTTCCTAAAGTGTCAAGTAAGGAATGTCAGGAGTCTTCAAAAATTTCATGGAAAATGTGAATTATGAAAAAATTATGCAAAGGTTTCAAAAAATATTTGCACCATAATTAACTTATTCCCTTTCTCCATGAACTTTTTCAAGTACATTCATATTGCCTAGACTATAAATCAAGAACTAGAGGAAGATTTGTTTTCATCAGAATTGTAATAAACATCAGAAGAACTATTATTAAAGTATCTAACAGTGGAAAATAAAATATCAGAGGCGCTTTTGTTCCTTACCTTACTCTAATTTTTAAATTTCACCACGTGCATGTATTACATTTACAGCTTGAGTAAAATTAAATAAAATTTATAGAGAGGGGAGAACAAACTAATAACACATGCATAATGGAATGCCATGTAAGTAGTAACCTCATAGATGATGATCCTATTTACAAATAATCATCTTTCTAAGATTTACACACTTTCTAAGAATACACATACATGTTAAAATAAAGTACTGCTATAACCTTGTCACCACACAATCTAATCTTTTTATACTGAAAACATAGACCCGCACACCCTCCCATGGGCTCTGGGTGAGACCTTGGGCTCACTGCTTCACGTCTGTAAGCCAAAGCTTTCTCATCTGCAGAGTGGTAACACAACCCACGTGACAGGGCCACAGTGGAGCTGGTCACACAATATCATGAATGTGTTTAATGCTACTGAACTGAACACCTAAAAAATGATTAGCGTGGTGAAATTTGTGTTACATATAAATTGGGGGAAAAAGAAATAAAGGAGTGAATGTGCAAAAAGCCTGTTGTGTAAATAAATGATTAACAAACAGTCCTTGTAGTTAAAGAAGTTTTTCCTCCTTGCAACCAATCATCAAGCTTCTACATCACAAACGATTGGTACGTACATTAAGAAACAACAGAGCTCTCTAGACACTACCTTTTAGGAGGGTTCTGTTGGAAGTGTAATACCCAAGAAAAAGGGAGAGAGAAAGCAAGCACAATTTGATCAAACTTATTCGCAACACATGGGGACACACAGAGAAAGCAGGAGGTAAGGTAGAAAGCCTTCTTGTATCAAGCCTGCCTGAAATAGTCCAAGATTAGAAACACATCCTAGAAGTCACCAAGCAAGTGAGCATGCACAAATACCTTCAAAGCCATAACCACAGCACTTGGTGCCCATCAGTTATTTCAAAACAGCCTAGACTGAAAAAGAGCCTGGTGGTCCTGCCACAAGGGATGGAATGATGGTCCTAAAGCACCAAAAAAGCCCAAACTAAGGAGAAGCTGCCCCAAGGTGCCTTCAAAAAAGACCTACGTAACCAGCAAGGCCTGGCTCCCATCCAAGTGTCCTGAGATGCTGGCAGCACCCAGAGAGCAGTCTGGGAGCTCCACAGCAAGCAGAAGACCAGGGCTGAACTCAAGCTGTCCCTGCAGCGCTGACTGATCAGAATAAGCTCCAAGTGCTTTGCAGACAGCCACGGTGATGGGTCTCTCCCGGCCAGCTCTTCAGAAGCTAAACCTCCGTGGCTACTTCTATTCCATGAGACCCAGACATTCCCATCCTGAAGAGGCCTGGAAGGAACCTGGTCTCTCCCTTCCCAGCTCTCAGTGGGCCATGTTCTCTCTTCCCTGAGATCTACCAGGCAACTTTCAGATGGAAGGCATCTTCTACATCTAGTGGCCTCATGAGTGAAGGTTCTTAGCCTGGGAAAGGAGTAAAAGAGCAACTATTACCCAAAAGAAGAGCTGCTGTGTGGAATTAAGACTGAAGCATACATAATGAGCAAAATTACAGCATATTAGCATTTAACTTGAGTATATTCCCTGAAGGTTTCAGTATTTGCACATTAAATAAATTACATTAATTATCATTCACCACAGAAAAACCTGACAATACAGACAGACGCTACTCCCTGCTGATGAGGAGATTGTCTTGTAAAGGCCAGTTCATTAGCCAGTGAGGACATGAGCCTGTCAAACATGGCCTTACACATCTTTGAGCCTAACGTCTTACTAACAAAATGCTATTCTTTACTAACACTGTTACTTAACAGCTCTAAAAGACACACCAAAAGAGCCCACATCTGCAGTATGAACACTTGGAAACTAATGTTTTGCATTTATCCAAAGAGCTACAACAGATATATAGAACGCTTCCAGAATCCACAGTACTCCTCATTTCTGGGCAATACATGAGCCATCCACGTTAGTCTGCACATGATGTGAACATGTGCAACAGGGGAGGCTGCAGAGAACAGGGCACAGGGGAGCCCCGGATTCTCATCACAGAGCCTCAGAGGCTCCCACTCCGCAGGCACTAAGCCCACTTTCTCCTACCCCTGCTCCAGGCCCAACGCAGAGGTCCATGATCTTTGAAAAAGAAATCCAACCATTTTTATTTTCAGGCTTACAGACTCATCAGATCTGAGTTTCTTACATTAATTACATCTAAATATCTGGCATCAGATTATAGTAAGGCAGACATCTTAATGTCTTCATTAATTCATTAATTCATTAAGGCAGACATCATAATGTCTTTACCTCTTAAGGTGTCTTCAAAATGCATATTATAAAAAACTACACATGATTTCAAAAAATTTTGCTCTAAAGTTAATGTATCTTTTAATTCCATTTTCCATGAACTTCCTGAAATATCCCTGTATTTCTCAGCAGTTCTTACTTGGATCTTTGTTACTGTCTTGGCAAGGTACAGAGAGGTCTTAGCCAAATTATGTAACTTAGAGACTTGACAAAAAGCTACAGTTCTCTTTTAAATACTTCTTTAGAAATGGATGCTAAAAACCTCTGGGCACAAAAGACTCAACTAAAGGCTGCATTTCTGCTCTGGGCCCCAATGTTACATCATGTGTCTGACAGCACTTGAAGTGGACACAAGTGAAGGGTAAGAGTTTCCTACACAGCATAACCAAGGGTGCTCCCTCAGGAAGCAACTATGAAACTCTGACCCAATTATTTAAGGATACCTTTAAAAAAAAAAAAAAAAGGATACCTTTGAAAAGACTGGAAACGTTTTATTGAACAATATGTATATACTGGGGCCAGTGCTGTGGCATAGCGGGTAAAGCCGCCACCTACAGTGCCAGCATCCCATATGGGTACTGGTTTGAGTCCTGGCTGCTCCACTTCCAATCCAGCTCTCTGCTATGGCCTGGGAAGGCAGTGGAGGACAGCCAAAGTCCTTGGGCCCCTGCACCATGTGGGAGACCCGGAAGAAGCTCCTGGCTCTGGATTGGCGCAGCTCCAGCCATTGCGGTCATCTGGGGAGTGTACCAGCAAATGGTACACTCTCTGCCTCTCCATCTCTCTCTGTGTTAACTCCTTCAAGTAAATAAATAAATCTTTAAAAAAAAATATGTACATACTATAGTGGAGTCAACCGGGCAGGAGGGGATTTCCTATTTGCTTTTACGGCAGCCCAACAAACAAACAAAAATTTTCTCTGCCACCTGAGGGGAGGTGGGCAGGGTTTTATAACTTAGACTTCAGCCAAGTTATGAGCATGTAATAATGAAGATAATAATTCTAAAACTAATCAGGCAATACTCTTTAGAAAGTTTTCAGTTTCTACATCATTGTAATGATTAGGTTATGTGGTCAAATTACTTAATATTAAAAAAAATAACTGGAAAATGCCACCCCTTCTCAAGACAGAAGACAATTAACAAACCCCAACCCTGAGATGGTCAGGATCTGGGATTCACAGGCTTGACTTCCAAGACAGTTTGTATAGCCAGGATGAATGATGACAAAATGCAATATATGCTTGCAGTGAGTGAAGATACAGTAACTCAGCAGAGAATGGGCAGTGATTAAAAGATGAGACCAATTCTAAAGCCAAAATTTTCATATCATTAATAAAAATCCACTGATGGACTTAACAGCAGAACAGAATTGACAGGGAAGAGTGAATATAAAGAGAGGTCAAAATTATCAATCCAAAGAAAATCAGTGCAACTAAAAAAAAAGATTTCAAAAATTAACATAGCCTCAAGGACATGTGAGACAACATTAGTGTCTAATATTGTAAGTCTGAAAAGAGAATAATGAAGTAGAAAAAAATGTATATATAAAGAATAGCTCAAGTTTCTCCAAATGTAAATACAAAGTTAAAGTCTTAAATAATTCAGTAGACATCAAGTAGAATTAATGCAAGAAAAGACACCTCACAGAAGAGCATTATTTTGATTTTCAGTTGTTTGCAAAAAAGAAAATCCTAAAACCTGCCCTCCCCAAAAAAAACATGACAGATTATAAATGGGGGAATGGCAACTTGAAGAACTGATTTTGCATTGGAAATAATGAACAAAAGAGGTAAGTGAAAACATTTTTTAATAATGAAAAAACATTAATTCAAAATTCTGCAGCCCCATGTAGATGCTGTAGTGCCCATATGGGATGCCAGACCTGCAGCTTAACCCACTGTGCCACAGGGCCAGCTCCTTTCCAAGACTTTTTGAAGATCCCTTATAAACGGATTTCAGAACATTTTGCATCAACAAATTTTTTTATTCCATTGTCCACAAACTTCTTGACATACCCTTGTATACTGTAATCCCTACAGCAACCACTAAAAACCTACAACTGTAGTATCCTCCCTCATCATTTTCCCTTAGTATTTTTTAACTTCCAAAACTTTAAGCTTTTCATAATTTGGAAATCACCCTTTTTAAAAAATGTATTTATTTATTTGAGAGGCAGAGACAGAGAGAAAGTTCGTCCATCCACGGGTTCACTCCCCAAATGGCTGCAATGGCCAGACCTGGGCTGGTCTGAAGCCAAGAGCCAGGAGCTTCTTCCTGGTCTCTCATGTGGGTACAGAGGCCCAAGCGCTGAGGCCATCTTCCACTGCTTTCCCTAGCCATCAGCAGGGAGCTGGATCAGAAGTGGAACAGCCATCCATATAGGATGCCAGTACCACACGCAGAGGCCTAACCTACTACGCCACAGCACCAGCCCCAAAAATCAGTCCTAGAAATACCTTTTTTCTGCTGAATGGTACTCATGTACTATTGGGACTGTTTCCTATTTCCTCACCTCCAAATCAAACTAATAGGTTCTCGGGTCTGGCTCTGTTGGCAGTATAATGTTTCCTAACTGATACACTAAATCTAAAAGGGCTAAATCTCAGCTAATTGGTAACTGTAATTCCCAGCTAGCAGGTACGTAGTCTTCCTTGTAACCATGGACTTTTCAAAAGAAACAAGGAGCTTGTGGCTAGGAGGCTTGTGTAGGAATAAAAGCTGATAGCATGACTTTGTAGTCCATAACACGAACAGCCAATGTGGTTCATCAAACCACAGGCTGCATCTAGCCATTTTTTCCATTCCAGTCACCTGCTTCCCGCTCCTTAGATGATGCTAAAGTAGGTGTACCTATTTGGAGATTTGGAAGTTTCAGAAACATCTGCTTTATAGATTGCTGTTACAGTGTCCATGGTAATTATGATTGCTTTATAAAAATGTCAATATGTAAGCAGCCTCCAACTTATAAGGCCACATTTAGGTATAATTCCATATTTATTAGTATTTTCTAATAAAGACCAATCTCTTCTTCTTCCCCTAAACAGGAGACAGGAGTCTCTGGGCCAACAACCTTAAAGGAAAACAGAAACAGCCATGAGAAATCTGACCTGCTCAGAAGGAGTGTCTCCTTCATGGCGAGGTTTAAGCCCTATGATTCCAGGACCTTATGCCAAGGCTGCCAAACATGTTTCTGGCAGCACAAGCACTTCCCTGAAATTCCACTACTATAAGAATCCTTTGGATTAAAAAATGCTTATCTTCACAAGGACTACAAACCTAGTCATGTTTTATACAAGGATCTTAAATCTGACCACTCTGGTTGTGTTGAAGAGCATTAAGACTGCTGATGCAAGGAGGTGGTTTGCATTTTGAACAATTAATACTTTTGCAGAGTAGGACAAGCTGGTGTTTGGAGTAGAGTTCCAAGGATAAGCAGGAGGGCACAAAAATCCATATACAGTACATCATCAAAGAATGTCAAAGTTAAACTTAACCTCCTTCACAGTTTTCATCCAAGAAAGGGGCTACTTGCCTCCTGTTCTCAGAATTCTGAATACTACCAATAACCTAAAATAACAGCTGTGTCTAATAGAGTTAATGCAGCGGTCACAAGTTAGACCAGGAAGCTAGCTACCCCAAACAATGCTGTGTGTGTAGAAAAGTCAGTGCGCGTTCAACCATCCATCCAGATAGTAAGTACAGTGGGAACCATTCACTTAGAAGTTTTCTAGAAGCACTACACTAAGCAATTTCTAAGCATCATCTTATTCAACCACAACAATTCTGTGAGATATATATGAATATTTCTGTTTTACAGATAAGGAAAGTAAAACACAATAGGCTAGGTAACTTTGAAACTATGTAGAAAAATCAACAGCACATTCCTAAGAAAGTTTACACATCATTAACTAACATATGAAAAGATGCTCAACATCACTAAGGAAATAAAACCCAAAGCCATAATGAAGTATCACTTCACCCATTACAATGGGTACTATAAAAAAAAAAAAAAGTATTGATGAGGATGTAGAAAAATCAGAACCCTTGTACACTGTTAGTAGGATGGTAAAATGGTGCAACTACTATGGAAAATAGCACAGAGGCTCCTCAAGGTTAAAACAGAACTACCATACGATTCAACAATCCTACTTCTTGGGAGATATTCAAAAGAAGTGAAAGTAGGGTCTCAGAGAGATATCTGTGTGACCTTGTGCATAGCAGCAGTACCCTCAACAGCTAAGAGGTGGAAACAACCCGATGTCTATTGACAGAAGAGTGGGTAAACAAAAGTTGGTTTATCCATATTAATTCAGCCTTAAAAGGAAGAATATTCTGACACCTGCTACAACATGGATCAACCTTGAAAACACTATGCTGTTGAAATGGGCAGTCACAAATGGACAAATACTGTGTCATTTCAATGATACAGTATCAGAAAAAGACAAATATATTATTCCAACTTTAAGAAGAACTTAAAGCACTTCAAATTCAGAGGCAGAATCCTCTGATGTTTCCTGATAATTCTATCGCAAGTCCAAAATATATTTCCATGTTCCACTATTTATTAATCTAAAACTAATGATTCTTTATTCATTATATCCCCATCATGATTTTAAACTTTTAATTTAAAATAAAAAGGTAGGAGTGGGTGTTTAACTTACTGGTTAAGATGCCCACATCCTACATTAGAGTACCTAAATGCAATTCCTGGCTCCAGTGTTCCACCAATGCAGACACTGAGTAGCTCAAAAATGGAAAAGAACAGGTATGATAAAGTGACCTTCTATGTGGATCCCATACCTTATTGAAACACTGTTAAACTTCATATAATATTAAATACTGTTGTTCTGACTGCACACATTCGCTTCGGGCCTCACTCAGTCCTCAGAGCCTGAATGTCCCACAAAACATTCACCAGAATGGTCATCACTCCCTAGAAAATCCTTAGCAGTAAGATTCTTTTCAAATTGGAAAAAGCAAGGAAAAAAAGCAGCTGACCAATTTGCCTTGAAAAGAATACCACTAATCAAGTTTCACCATTCAAATCCTTCATTTAACTATAACAGAAAACAGCTCTTACTGATTTCAATTTAAAATGCTTTGCATGACTTGAAGCAAGAAGGTTCATTTATTTTATAAAAGGAATATAAAGGAAACATTTATAATATCTTATCACATGAAAAAACTTAAAAACACACGTATGAAAGGATTCTATTTTTTAATGTATATTTTTGTACATGCCTTAACTGTCATCCAAACTTACTCAAGGACCTGAAACAAGATGCTAACAGGAATCTTTCCGGCTGCTTAAATTTGAACAAAGGAGTGTAAGCAACTATCATAACTTTACTAAACAGCTTGGGGGTCAGACAGAATCATTTTATATTAGACATATGCAACCTATATATGTATGCTTCATGTATATGCATTATACACTGTATAATAAAATATACATAAATTATAGCATAACATAAGTATGGATAAACAAAAGTTTGGAAACATACAAATCCAAAATGAAGACTACCTGCAGAAAATATGAAATTTAGAATTTACATCCTCCCTGTAGTAACTTGTCTTTCCAAACTTATCTGTATCAAAGAAAATTAAATATTTTTCTTCGATAGTTGACTGAACTAGTATCAACAGCATCAGTATTTCCCCACACAGTTTACCTTTCAAGTTCTACTAAAGATGAATAATTTTCAAGTTCTCTGCCATTTTTCTAAAACTGACAACATTTCTAGATATTCTGGTAAACTTAATCTAAATAAAAGGAAATATACAAATTTCATATAATCAGCTTTTAAATGTTGCAATCAAATTAGAGATTTACCTTCATCATACATTTCTTCTATTAAATAGGCTTCTGCTCGATCTTTCAGAGCATTCACATTGTCGGGTTCCACCTGTAAAACTTCAGAACACACTCTAATTGCCTCAACAGGCTTCTCATCCTGAAATCAAATGTGAGAAAAGGATTAATTGTTATCCCACATGGAAAGTTTTCACATTTCTGGGACAAGTCAACACTTACCTTAGAAAAACAGTGGCAGATCCTTTCTTTTGAACGAATTGTATATTCAGCAACATTTGGCTCTGTTTTCATGACTGATTCATATTTGCTGGTCGCATCTGTGTATCTATTAAATAAACAAATCATGAGGCGTAACAATGAAATTCTATTTCCAAAGATGTGGGAAGGACCCTCTCCTCTTCCCCATACCTCACTGCTTAATCAAGTCAACTGAATGAGCACATGCGTTCAAACACAGTTCGTACCTTATTCTTCTTAGGATAACATGGGATGCTCAGTTAAGAGTTAACAGATAAGATACATAATCATAGAAATGTACTTGTACAACTCAAAGCAGACTATCAGGACCAAATCCAACGATGACTTTCTTTACAAGAAAAAGCTCAAGATTTTCAAAGTGAGAAAAACACCCGGTTAAAGTCTGGCTTACACTGAGCACTTTGATCAAAACAGTTATCAAGACATTTCTTGGTTACTGCATACTTTCATGAAAACAATGCAACACATTATACCCATTTTTAAAAAAGCTTTATTTTTATTTAAAAGGATGAGTTACAGAGAGAGAGAGAGAGAGACAGAGAAAGAGGACTTCCACCCGCTGGTTCTCTCCCCAAATGGCTACAACAGCTGGGGCTAGGCGAGGCTGAAGTCAGGAGCCAGAAGCTTAGAAGCTTCTTCCAGGTCTCCCACATGGGTGCAGGGAACCAAGCACTTGGACCATCTTCTGCTGCTTTCCCAGGTGCATTAGCAGGGAGCTGGATTGGAAGTGGAGCAGCTGGAACTCGAACCAGTACTCATATGATATGCCGGCATCACAAGCAGCAGCTTTACCTGCTAGGCCACAATGCCAGTCCCTATTATATCTAATTTATATAATGAATATCAATATTCACAACTAAGTATTAGGCAGTTCCTTCCTAAAGGAAGCTACTTAAATTCCCAATTCTAGGAGCTTTCTAAGAACAAAAATCTCTTTGCCATTTTCTTTAAACTGGTGAAAAATATTAGTCATCTAAGTTACTTTCCAGTAACTTTCCAGTAATGGCAAACTGAGATTTATCTGTATACCATTATAACCACTATTCCTTAAGTGCAGCAATATTCACATTTAAGTGCTGATACTTAATGTTTTATTAGTCTCATTCAAGAGGCAGAGAGACAAAGACAGAAAGAGAGCTCTTATCTATGCCTGCTTCACTAGCAGATGTCCTCAATAGCCAGAGCTGGGCCAAGGGCAAAGCCAGGAGCAGAGAATTCAATCTAGGTCTCTCACTTGAGCAGCAGGAATCCAACTGCCTGAGCAATCACTGCTGCCTCCCAGGGTCTGTATACAGTAGGAGGAAGCTGAAGTCAGGAGCCAGAGGTGGCTATCAAACCCTGGCATATGGTACACAAGTACCTTAAGTTCTAGGTTGAACACCCACCCCATATGCTGATTTTTAAAACAGAGATCTAAATAAAGCTATCTTCTGGAAAAGCAAATTAGATTTATTTTTCTCAATTCTTCCAGGTAAATAAAACTAAAAACTCTACACAGTATACACTTTTTTGGCTTTTTTTGTTTGTTTTTTTACTCTATACGGAGAGAAAAAGGCAGACTAGCTAGTAACTTCGGGACCTGAGGGGAACCATGGTGGTGACTTCTCTGGGTTCTTTTTTGACTTCATTCATCCCAGACTTGAAACTAAAGATGCCAGCAACCCAGAACAAGACAAAACAAAACTCTATAATCTGCTCTCCCAAGCCAAAAAAAAAAAAAAAAAAGGGTCGCAGGGAAGAAAACTGAGAGTAGCAGATCCAGTACGGCCCAGTATCACAGAGCTCATGACCCCATCTTAAAGACCAAGTGCAGGGCCTCGACTTCTTTCCTTGTGAGGCTGAAGTGGTATCAGAGAAGGGCAAGAGGCAGCCAGGACTTTCTCCCATTGTGTTAAAAATCCCCATCCCACTCACCTAGCAGTACCAGACTCTGTGAGGAACCAGAACTCTCACCTTTTCCTCACAGGTACCTCCAACCTAACTGTGATAGCAAGAAGCTCCCTGCCCTGTGAGTATCAAAAATAGCCAAATGTAAAATGTTTGATTCCACCCTGCAGTAAGAAGGTGGTGCCTCCCTCTCACTTAGCTGGCACACTGTCAGAAATGGTCTGCCAAAACAGGTTTTAGTAGAAACCAAGTCATATAACACAAAATGAAAATTCTAGGTTTCAGTTAGAAACAGCCCCAAGAATCAGGAAGACCTTAAGATGAAAAAGAAAAGACAGATTCCAATACCAAGAACACAAAGCTGTTATTATCTGACATATTTTAAAGCAGCCAAGAGAGGAAAAAAACAGCAATTACAAACAAGGTGGAAACAAAAGAAAAGAGTAACTCAGCCAAGAAACGACTCAGCAAAGAAATATAAGATATAAAGAATAAAGGGGGGTGGGGGTGGGCAGCACTATGGCATAGCAGGTAAAGCCACCGCCTGCAGTGCCAAGTATCCCATATGGGCACCTGTTCGAGACCCAGCTGCTCCTACTTCTGATCCAGCTCTCTGCTATGGCCTGGGAAAGCAGCAGAAGATGGCCTAAGTGCTTGGGCCCCTGTACCCAAATGGGAGAGCTGGGAGAAGCTCCTGGCTCCAGATCAGCCCAGCCCAGCTCCAGCTGTTGTGTTTGGAGAGTGAACCAGCAGATGGAAGATCTCTATCTATCTGTGCCTGCCTCTCTGTAAACTCTGCCTTTCAAATAGATTAACAAAAAAAAAAAAAAAAAGAAAGAGGGGCTAGTCTTGTGGTGTGGTATCCTGGCAGGTTAAGCAGCCACAGGCATCCCACATGGGCACTACTTCAAGTCCCAGCAGCTGCACTTTCAATCCAGCTCCCTGCTAATGGCCTGGGAAAGCAATGGAATATGGTCAAGGTGCTTGGGCCCCTGCACCCATGTGGGAACCAGGATGGAGTTCCTAGATCCTAGTTTCAGTCTGGCCCAGCCTCAGCTGTTTTATCTATTTGGGGAGTGAACCAGTGGATTGAAGATACATCTCTCCCCTTTTCTAACTTTGCCTTTCAAATGGATAGGTAAATCTTAAAATAAAAGACATTCTCAGAAGAAAACTACAAAATATTTTACTAAAGGAAGTTTTCTAAATAGAGAAAGGAAAAGACATAACCTTGGAATCTGAAGAAGGCAGAAAGAACATGGTAAGCAAAATACACATGTAGACTTGCTTTGATTTAGATAGGCTTTTTCCCCCAAAAGGGTCAAGTGCTGGAAGATCTGTCCCCACTGTGGCAGTATCTTTAAAAAAAACTTAAGACAAAAGCTACAATCAAATTCATTTCTACATAGCTCAGTGCCTGAAATAAGAGAGAGTCAATAGATTAGTTATAACATAAATAAACCTGCTGGTAAGGATACTACACAGTTAATATTGTTTATATTCTGTTTTACCTCAAAAATGTGAAATATGGTAGTTTTGCTAAGGCCCAGTACCACTAGGAATACTCTACCCTTGATGTCTAGGGAGTAAAGAGCATAAGTTCACTTGTAACCACAACCATACATAGAAAGGTTGGATAGTCAAGATAGGTATATCCTTTCTCTGAAGGGAGGAGAGAACCTCCACTTTGATTATGGCCCTTTCTAAATAATGTCTGAGTTTGTGGACTCAAAAGGCTTCCATAGCCTTGGCAGCTCATGACAAGAACCTCGGGTGATCACTGATGTCATAAATAAGAGTGTCAATTGTTAAATCAACAACAGGAGTCACTGTGCACTTGCTCCCCTTGTAGGATCTCTGTCCTTAATGTTGTACTGAGAATTAATGGTAAAGCTAGTCATCAAACAGTACTTTATACTTTGTGTGTCTCTGTGGGTGCAATCTCTTAAAATCCTTACTTAGTATGGAGTTGATCTTCTGTATATAAAGATAACTAAAAATAAACCTTAATGAAGAATAGGATGAGAGAAGGAGTAGGAGGTGGGATGATTTGCAGGTGGGAGGGTGGTTATGGGGGGAAGAATCACTATAATACAAAAGTTGTACTTATGAAATTTATATTTATTAAATAAAAGCTTTCTATAAAAAATAAGGGTTAAATATATATGGGACATCCATATAACAGAATGAAAAACTATTAAAACTGAATTTTGTAGGGAAGAATTTAATGACTTGATAATACTTCAGATATAATATTAAATGGAAAAAGAACACTGTGTGCAAATATAAACACACATTATTATACTCTTGATTTATAAAATTGATAAAGTTGTTAGAAAATTTAAAAAAGACTGGAGAGAAAGATATTAAAGCTTTAAAAATAGTTTGTCTCGGTGCTATGAGTATTTTTTTATCTTTGTATTTTCTTTATATTCTTTTTTACAATGATTATATATTGTTTTTCTGATTTTACAGTGAATTCTAGTAAAAATAAAGATTCTGTATACTTTTTGGAAGATCAACTGCTGATTTGTTGTTTAGGGTTTTAGCATCAAAGCTGACACTTCAGTGTTGATGTTTTAATCAAAATAGAATAAGTCCACGACAGTATATCCTCTAGAGTTTATGATTTACGTTTTAGACGTGTTTTTCTGCATTTGTTTAGAGATACTGTCTTCGTTTTTTGCAAGTGACTTAGATCCTGCCTAATGAAACCTAGTAAGTTGAAATAAACAAGTTGCTAGTCTCTGCCCCCTCAAGAAAAAAAAAAAAAAGATAGGTATATCCTTACCTGCCATCTCTGATAAGCTCTTCAGCTGACTCAATCAGCTTGTTAAGTTTCTTGACTTGTTTATAGTGCGCAAAGCACCTTTTATGATCCTGATCAAGTTTAAGGCATTCACGAACTTCACTGCTCATGTTAAAAAAAAAAAAAAATCCCAGTCAAAATAATGAGTCTTCCATATTATAGAAATAATAAAAGCATTTTTGTTCATAAAAATTAAAAAATACTGACTTGCATGATTTTCTGTATATTTTTATATATCACATTATACCATACACACTTACTGATTAAAACTAAAATGATGTATATATACAGTTACACATTAACTACTTCACTCTTTCTGCAAATATCAACATATTCATGAAAATAAACTATGTAGATTTAGAATAACTTAGAATACAAAATATATAAACAGCCTTAACTGTAATTTAATAGTTAAGCTGTACAAGAAAATGGGGTTAATTTACTGACAACAATTTAAAAATGATCAGATATCTGTCACCAGAACTGACCTGAGGGACAGTTCATGGTCCCCTAGTTGGTAGTACAGTGTGCTGATTTTATAAAATGCCTCAGTATTATCATTCTTCAATTTTGATGCAGCTTTTAAGTCACTTATAGCTTTTCTAGGCTCCCCTTCTTTTATAAAACATTCAGCTCGAAGTTCCCGAAGTTCAGCATCCCAAACACAAACCTTGAAAAACAGAAGAACTGAATTTTAAGAAAGAAACAATAAATTATAAAGGTTCATTCCTATATGCCACATAGTTTATCTACCTATTTATCAAAATAAAATATCCTCAATTAATGTAATGGCTTCTATATTGTAAATAGTGCCAAAAAGTCTGAAATAATTTCAATGTGATAAAAATGTTAAGACAATAATTTCACCAAAGATATCTTAAATAAATTTTGCTGAGGGAAGGGATATAGATAATAACAAGGCCCTTTTACTACCTCCTTCAATTATATAATTCTAAAACTCTAAAGAAAACAGCATTTACCATTACAGTGAGACATTTACTATCCCCAGTAAAGCATATTTTTAGAGAATATTCCATAAGAAAATTTTTGTTCTTAATCAACAATTCTAATTTCTAATCAAAAATTAAAATCCAAGTTCTAAATTAGAAAAATATTTTTATTCTACTAATAAGTAAATGCAGTTATCTTTTGTAAAACATCACCTCCTTGAAATTCTGTCCTCTTATTAAAACAAGGAAAACAATGTGAGAAGGCAAAGAGGTTAAGGAGTTGCCAATCCTATTTTAACAAGATTTCACAAGGCTTAGCAAACACAATAATATTCAATATATAAACCCAAAAGCCAAACAATAAAGATTGTGAAAATATCACATATAACAGCCACGTTTTCACATATATGAAGAAATCAAAATCAATACTATATGTAAATTAAATACCAAGAAAGCTGGGTCAAAGAGGATAGTCTATAGACCAAGGTAAAAATTATAAACTTTATTCCCTTAAAAAGTATGAACAAAATAATAAAAACATAAATTCTGTGCTCACTTCAGCGGCACATATAATAAAACTGAAATATGAATTCTATTAAACTGTATCACGAGTTACTCTGTAAAATTATCAAAGAAGGGCAAGTATTTAGCCTAGCGGTTAAGATGTCAGTTCAGTTGCTTATATTCCACACTGGAATTCCTGAGTTTGATATCTGGCTCTGGCTCCTGACTCCAACTTCCTACCAATGCAAATCCTGAGATGACGAAGCGATGGCTCAAGTAACTGGGTCCTGCCTGTCACATGAGAGACTATACTGAGTTCCTGGCCAGTAACCAAAGATGAGAAAGCTCCCCCACCTCCTGTGTGCGTGCATGTGTGTGTGTGTTTAAGAAAATATTTTAAAAAGAAAAAAAAGAAATGTACCGGGGCCGGCACTGTGGTATAGCAGGTAAAGCTACCGCTTGCACTGCCAGCATCCCATATGGGCGTCAGTTGAAGTCCCGGCTGCTCCACTTCCGATCCAGCTCTCTGCTATGGCCTGGGAAAGCAGTAGAAGATGGCCCAAGTGCTTGGACCCATGTGGGAGACAAGGAAGAAGCTCCTGGCTCCTGCTTTCTGCTCGCCACAGCTCCAGCTGTTGCAGCCATCTCGGGAGTGACCCAGTGGATGAAAGACCTCCCCTCCCCCCTCCCCCCGTCTCTGTTTAACTCTACCTTTCAAATAAATAAATCTTAAAAAATGAAATGTGCCAGGATACAAGAGCTCAGTACAAAAGAGGGGGAAAAATCATTATCAGAGAAGTGTCCATTCTATATACATACCAGTTTACTGCCAAGATTAAATAAAACTGTGTATCAAAGTGCTATGAAAAGTGCAAATATGTTATGATTGCTTCAATTTGAGTATTTCAGTAGACTTCCTTCTAAATCCTTTGACATTAAATCCTTCAGAGGCAAGAAAACCATAGAGTTAAGTTTCCTCGTGTATAAACCTCTGGATCTTACTAACTCTTTACCTGCCTTTGTTCCTTAGATACTTTTCACTCTGAACACTCCTCTTTCTTCCCAAACATCATTTGTAAATTTGTCTTCAACTCTTTCATCTTATCTAACATCTAGAGTTCTCTTCTCCCAAAAAAAGCAAAATAGCAAAGCAAGCAACATATAAACACACTTAACTTTTATCCATAGAACATTCAACACTGAAAACTTCAGTTCCAAATTCTACTATATGTGTACACATAAGATCTTTCACTTAACTAGTTACTAGTGGTAGCTCGAGTTCTAAGAGACTTACCTCCAACATCTTATCAAGGAAGGTTATAGCAGCCGCATAGTCTGCACTTTCAAAAGCATCAAGTGCTTGTGAGCGCAAAAGCTGCATCTCATCAGACTTCGTGAGCTGAGACCGGGCTTCCTTTTCTTCATTTTCACTTGGATTAGATTTGAGCTATAAAATCAATAATAAATTAAATTGAGCAGGGTTTTCAATCTCTTAAATCTAATGCCTACAATACACAGAAACAACTGATCATTCCAAATACTGAAGGCCCTTGGGGAAATGGGTGAAGGGCAACTGGCAGAACTGCCTTGTCCATGACCTGCTTCACCGTGGCAGGCAGCAGTGAAAGTTCCTTTTTTCCCACCAATGTGATCCACAAAAGCAAGCAGTGATCTGCACTAAGACCTGGTCACCCCTGCCCCCTAACCCTGGCAAACCTATCAGGAAGTAAATACAGTTAGGAATGTGAAGGGTAGAAAGGAACACAGTAAGGAAAGCACCCTTTGGCCGGCACCGCGGCTCACTAGGCTAATCCTCCGCCTTGCGGCGCTGGCACACCGGGTTCTAGTCCCAGTCAGGGCGCCAGATTCTGTCCCGGTTGCCCCTCTTCCAGGCCAGCTCTCTGCTGTGGCCAGGGAGTGCAGTGGAGGATGGCCCAAGTCCTTGGGCCCTGCACCCCATGGGAGACCAGGAGAAGCACCTGGCTCTTGCCTTCGGATAAGCGCGGTGCGCCGGCCGAAGCGTGCCAGCCGTGGCAGCCATTGGAGGGTGAACCAACGGCAAAAGGACCTTTCTCTCTGTCTCTCTCTCTCACTATCCACTCTGCCTGTCAAAAAAAAAAAAAAAGGAAAGTACCCTTTACACTTCGTTACACACAGCTCTGAAGAATAATCTACTTTTACTGACTTTGCCTTCTAGTTACATTTCCTAAGTATTTAAGTATAAAATATATTTCCCAAAATAATGAAACACATAGGGAAACTAAAGAGAGCTATTTCAGAGAAGTTATGGGATAGAAAACGATTTTAGAGCAGAGGAGTTAATGTGCCAAAAAAAAGGGGAGGGGGTTTCTTAGAAGAGAGTAATGCCTTCTTAAAAGGCTCATATGGTTTCAGAAGTTTGCACAGTGCACTTTTTTAAAGTAATTTTATGAACATTTTATGTATCATATAATTCACTCAGTTTGAGTGTACAATTCTATTTTCTAATAAGTTTACATCAGCACAGCTTAGATCAATTCCTTCAACCCAGTAAGATCTTTGTGTTTCCCTATAGTTCATCCCCACTGCCAATGCCAATGTAGAGCACATGAACTCTTAATATTAAGCTTAATGTCTCAGAAATATCAAATGCCTACATTGAAAAGCAACTAATGGGGGGGGGGGCAGGAGACTGTTTTAAGATTATAGTTCATATGTAATAATCATTGAAATTATTATTTTTACTAAGAAAGGAAATATGACTGATTCCAAGTTGGGGTGAAGTACAGATAAGACAAGGTTATTTCTAGAAATCCCTCTTCCTCAATGGGCCAATCACACTCCATTCCCTCCTAGTGGGTTCATTCTTTAAAAACACTCCCACGATCCACCTGGCTGCAGATAACACTCCAAATGAGAAACGAAGAATATTATCTCTTGGTAATGATTCTGTACTTACCCATTCTGCTCTTTAGGATAGTTCAGCTGATCTGTCTCTTTTAACCCTTGGCTTGTGAAGGGTAGACTACAGAGTATCTGCAGGTAACTAGGAATTGGTGACCTCTGCTTACTCTTGGGGAGGATTTTCCCTCTAAGACTATCTTGCAGTTGAAGCATGCTGCTTCAGAGCTAAGGTATGTCTATGTTTTCTCATCCTTGGGGGTCTTGAATAGACCACAAAGGAAAGGGGATGCATGTGTGTTCACCTCTGATTTACTCTCTATAGAAGAAGTGTATTGATAAATTTTTTTCCTGAATGTACACCCTTGATTCTTTTAGATATAATATATTAGAGAATGACTCTTCTGGATGGAAACTGAATATTTTCTCTTTAACTGGAATCCAATCTCTTCCACACAGTGTTTCTTGTTGGAAAGCAAGGACAAAGCCCTAAATTTCAAGGTTGAAGAGATTCACTCAGTGCTCAAGAAAATCGGAAAAAAGGGAGTAGAATCAGCTTAGGTCATCTGGGCTTCTTTGGGGCCAAGAGGGAGGTGGGAAGAAGGAGATGATTCTTCCATGGAGTAAGAAAGGAGTTAGAGAAACAAAGGCAAGACTTGCTTAGAACACTGGAGAGTTTCAAAGGGGGCTAAGTGAGATGAAGATTTTTCCTCTTACCATAAAGTCACTGACATCTCCCAATTATCCCCTTGTTTTCCAAGACATCACAATGTATAGCCCCGCTGATAATTCCCTCCCTCTTTTCTTCATATTTTTTCTCATCCCTGCTCTTCTCTAATACTTTCCCATTTCTGACTCTTTCAGCCAATGAGGCCTTTCCTATGACAGTACTGCATTTCTTCTCACCATTTTCCTGAGCTTCCGAGATAAAAATCCATAAAAGCTACAGATATTAAAAGAAGGCTTTTGAAAGAGGTGACCTGTCCTCTGACTGCACCTCTGCTTCTGGCCCCTCAGATAACCACAGTAGGCTGGCAGTCATGGTGCCCTTCTAAGATGGCCCGGGGCCCCCATCTCCTGCTATTCATGCCTTTCTGTAATTCCCTCTCCTACTGTGTGGGCTGGACCTGGTAGCTCCTTTTAACAAACACAATAAGGACAAAGATGATAGGAGGTTACTTATTAAGTTATAAACATCATAGCTTCCACACTGCTAGCACATTCCCCCTTCACCTTGCTTGAATGCATGTGTGTGCTCTCTCTTCTCTCCTGCATCCTCACTGGGGGGCAGCAGATGGTGGCTCAGGTACTTGGGTCTCTGACACTGACATGGAAGACTTGGATTGAGTTTTATGCTATATCCTGACTGTTGCAAAATTTGGGGAATGAACTAGTAGACAGAAGATATCTATTGATCTATCTGACTTTCAAATAAAACAATTTAATTTTAAAAGAACATAGACATTAACATCAATTTAACATGCTGAGTAAAAAAGGTCTACTCTAAAAGGTACATAACATTTCCTAATATATAACATTTTTGAAATGTCAAAATTTAAAAATAAAGAACAAATTAGTTGTTACCCAGCCTTAAGATTCAGGAGACCACAGTACTGTGGAATAGAAATGGGTGTGGTTATACGAGAGAAACAGGAAGGCTCCTGGTAGTAACAGAACAGTTCGGTGTCCTAATTGTAGTGACAAACCCACAAATTAACACATGTAATGAAGTATACAAACTGAACACAAACGCACAAAAATGAACACTAGTAAACTGAGAACATGTGAACAGACAGGTAGATGTACCTTATCAAGTTCAATATCTTGGTTGTAATATTCTACCAAAATTTTACACGATGTAATCTGTTGGGGGAAACTAGGTAAAGGGCACGAGATTTGTCTGTATTATTTCTTAACAGTTGCATGTAAACAACCTACAGTTGTGTGAATAAAAATGTGAATTATATATGTTCTGATGGAAGAATCTCAATAATGATAGTAAGTCAGTTTTAAGGACACACTGGCAGAAATATGACTGCTACAGAAAAACCTAGAGGCCAAGATGGTGGAACAGCGACTGGAGAGTCCTACAGGGGGGCAAAATTAATATTAAAAAAAAAAAAAAAAAAGGACAGAAAGTACATTATCAGGATAAAACCGTGGGACAGCCACAGTGGGAGAGCCCCCTTCCCAAGAGTACTGGAGATGGTCCAACCCGTGCTGAGAGAGAAAAAACCAAACAGAAGATCCGCCCATTCGGATCCAGGGAAGAAGATGCCCAACTGGGCAAGCCAAGTGAGAGGGAACTCTAGGGGCCCACAGCACTGCCTATACATCTGGAGGGAAAGCTTACTGAACTGACACTGGAGTTCCACACAGATCTCCCACAGACAGGAGTACAACGGGGGGGGGGGGGGGGGGAGCTTATATTCGTCCCCACTCGCCCATCACAGCTGTAGCGAAGACCTGTGGCCAGCAGGGTAGAGCTGACACCATTGTTGCACACAGGCAGGGAGCAGTGGCCCTAGCTCCAGTCAGTTGCACTGCACTGGTAGCCCAGCAAGGGGAGGGGAGGGGGAAAAGCCGCATAAGGGAGCCTGCTATATACCCTACAAACCATAGATATAACGAGAGAGAAAAAACCTATAGGGGCCGGCATGGTGGTATAGTGGGTAAGGCCACCGCCTGCAGTGCCAACAGCCCATATGGGCAATGGTTGGAGTCCCAACTGCTCCATTTCTGATCCAGCTCCCTGCTATGGTCTGGGAAAGCAGTAGAGGATGGCCCAAGTGCTTGGGCCCCTACACGTGTGTGGGAGACCAGGGAGAAGCTCCTGGCTCCTGGCTTCAGATCAGCCCAGCTCCACCTGTTGCAGCCATATGGGGAGTGAACCAGCAGATGGAAGATCTCTCCCCTCCCCCCACTTCCTCTGCTTCTCTGTAACTCCACCTTTCAAATAAATAAATTAAATTTAAAAAAGAAATCTACAAATGCTAAGAAACAAAGGCAAAAATTCAAAAACCAAAAATAAGGAAGACACTATGGAACCCCCAAAGGAACACAACATCTCAGCATTAGAATATGAAGATGAAGAGATTGAGGAAATACCAGAAATGGAATTCAAAACACGAATCATCACATTACTCAGAAGCAATCATAAGCAAATTCAGGAACCAAAGAAGACTATATATGATATAAATGAAAACTTTTCACATTAAATTGAGATTTTAAAGAGAAATCATAATGAAATACTAGAAATGCAGAAATCAACAGATCAAATAAAAAAATGCAGTGAAATGTCTTAACAATAGAGTAGGTGAGGCAGAAGAAAGAATATCTGAGCTAGAAAACAAATCCCTGGAGATTTTCATCAAACCAAAAAAAAAAAAAAAAAAAGAAGAAGAAGAAATCAGAAACTGAAGAACACTGTTAAAGATACATAGATAAATAGTCAATAAATGGTCAAAGGTCTTAAACAGAAATTTTTCAAAAGAGGAAATCCAAATGGCCGACAAATCAAAAAATGCTCAGGGTCACAAACCATCAGGGAAATGCAAATCAAAAACCACAATGAAGTTTCACATCACCCCAGTTAGAATGGCTTTCATACAGAAATCAACAAACAACAAAAGCTGGCGAGGATGTAGGGGAAAAGGCACCCTAATCCACTGTTGGTGGGACTGTAGACTGGTAAAGCCACTTTGGAGGACAGTATGGAGATACTTCAGAAATCTGAATATAGACCTAGCAGTTGACCCAGCCATGTAATGAAATCAGTAAACAAAAGAGTTATCTGTACTCCCATGTTTATTGCAGTTCAATTCACAATAGCTAAGACATGGAACCAACCTAAATGCCCATCAACCAAAGACTAGATAAAGAAATTATGGGATATATTCACTACGGAATACTTCACAGCAATAAAAAAAAAAAAAAGAAATTAGGTCATTTGCAACAAAATGATGAATCTGGAAAATACCATACTTAGCGAAATAAGCCAGTCCCAAAGGGACAAAAAACAAATTTTCTCCCTGATCTGCAAGTGGTCACTGACATCATACATAAGAGTGCTTATCGTTAAGGTAACAACAGGAGTCACTGTGCACTAACTCTCCATGTAGGACTTCTGTCCTCAGTGAGTTGTATTACGAGAATTAACTGTGATACTTGTTCTCAAAACATTTGTGTGTGTGTGTGTGTGTGTGTGTGTGTAAATTGTTGAAATCTTTACTTAGTACAGAGTTGGTCTTCTGTATACAAAGTTAATTGAAATGAATCTTAATGGAGAATGGGACTAGCAAGCGGAAAGGGAGGAGGATGGGGGTGAGAGTGTGGGTGGGAGGGAGGGTATGGTGGGAAGAATAACTATATTCCTAAAATTGTAAATATGAAATTTGTATTCCTTAAAAAATAAATTTGGGGCTGACACTGTGGCGCAGTGGGTTAACACCCTGGCCTGAAGCACCGACATCCCATATGAGTGCCAGTTAAAGACCTGGCTGTTCCACTTCCAGTCCAGCTCTCTGCTATGGCCTGGGAAAGCAGAAGATGGCCCAAGTGCTTGGGCCCCTGCACCTACGTGGGAGACCCAGAAGAAGCTCCTGGCTCCTGGCTTCGGGTCGGCACAGCTCCGGCCATTGTGGCCAATTGAGGAATGAACCAGTGGATGGAAGACCTCTTTCTCTCTCTCTCTCTCTCTCTCTCTCTCTGCCTCTCCTCTCTCTGTGTAACTCTGACTTTCAAATAAATAAATAAATCTTAAATAAAAAAATTAATTTAAAACATTAAAATAAAATAAAATTTTAAAAATGCAGGTCTTAAAACAAACCAGTTAAGGTCATAAAGAGATTGGCTGAATCCTTTTAAGTAATTTTTCAGTATCAACCCCTTCAATGACACATGATCTAAAACAGTCCCCCAACAAATCCAAGACACTTCACGCTTTGTAAAATAGCTATTATGGATATGATTGCAAAATTCCCTTTAAAAAAAAAAGAAAGATTTATTTGTTTATTTTAAAAGCAGAGTTATGGAGAGGGAGGTACAGAGAGAAAGAGATATCTTCCATCTGCTGGTTCACTCCCCAAAAGGCCAAAGCAGCCGGGGTGGTGGGGGGGCGGGGGGCAGGTCAAAGCCAGGAGCTTCAACCAGGTCTCCTTTGTAGGTGCATGGGTCCAAGCACTTGGAATATCTTTCACTGCTTACCCAGGTGCATTGGCAGGCAGCTGGATCAGAATGGAGCAGCCAAGGGCCGGCACCACGGCTCACTAGGCTAATCCTCCGCCTGCGGCGCCGGTACCCCAGGTTCTAGTCCCGGTTGGGGTGCCGGATTCTGTCCCGATTGCTCCTCTTCCAGTCCAGCCCTCTGCTGTGGTCTGGGAGTGCAGTGGAGGATGGCCCAAGTGCTTGGGCCCTGCACCCGCATGGGAGACCAGGAGGAAGCATCTGGCTCCTGGCTTTGAATTGGCGCAGCGCACCGGCCGTAGCAGCCATTTGGGGGGTAAACCAATGGAAGGAAGACCTTTCTCTCTGTCTCTCTCTCTAACTCTGCTGTCAAAAAAAAAAAAAAAAAAAAATGGAGCAGCCAGAATTTGAACCAGTGCCCATAAAGGATGCCAGCGCTGCAGGTAGTGGCTTAATCCACTGTGCCACAGCACCAGCCCCAAAATTCCCTTTTAAGAATCACATTATTCCTCTCAAATCAAATGAAGGGTCTCACAAATCACACAGAGGACTTTTAAGAATAGCTCAGCTGGGGCCGGTGCTGTGGCGCAGTAGGTATATCCTCCGCCTGCAGCACCAGCATCCCATATGGGTGCTGGTTCTAGTCCCAGCTGCTCCACTTCTGATCCAGCTCTCTGCTATGGCCTGGGAAAGCAGTAGAAGATGGGCCCCTGCACCCAAGTGGGAGACCCAGAAGAAGCTCCTGGCTCCTGGCTCCTGGCTTCGGATCAGCTCAGCTCTGGCCGTTGGGGCCAATTGGGGAGTGAACCGATGGAAGGAAGACCTCTCTGTGTCCCTTCCTCTCACTGTCTGTAACTCTACCTCTCAAAAAAAAAAAAAAAAAAAAAAAGGTCAGCTGACATCTTTAGGTTATCAGAAAGGACAAAGTAAGCCATATAAATCGAGTTGGGATTGTGGGATTGCACAGCCATGGTGTACATTCTGACTTCTGCTAGTGTGTCTGAAACTGATTCTTACATACATATATCATACTATCATCGATTTTAGCCACATTACTATAAATATTATAATATAAAAAATGAATCTAATACATTCTCTCAAAATAACATCTTCCCAGAATCAAGTAAAAATTGAATTTAACTTACCACTTTTTTAAAATCATCTTCTGCTTCATCAAGTTTTCCTTGTTTGAGTAATAAATGACCTCTCTGTAATCTTGCCTATGGAAAAATAAAGAGGGTATCCTGAGCAGTATGCATTTTCTAAATTTTTTAAACACAAAGAATAAAACTAAATAAGCTAATGAAGTTACTAATAAATACTTATTTTTCCAACACCCATTTGACTTGGCACTGAGAATAATTTCTAGAACAAGTAAATGTGGATACTATTTGATACAGTATATTTCCTTCAAAACAATCTCTGCCCTATCCAAGAAAATTGAAAACACACATTCACACAAAAACTTGTACATGAATGCTTATTACAGTAGCCAAAAAGTGAGAACCCAAATTTCCATCAACTACTCAGTCAGTAAACAAATATGATATATCCAGTCAATAAAGCAATACTATTCAGCCACAAAAAACAGGAATGAACTGTTATATTCATATATACTACCATATGAGTGAAACCTGAAATGAAGCTAAGTCAGACACAAAAAGCCACATATTACATGATTTCATTCTTATATGAACTACCCAAAATAGGCCAATTGATGAAAAATGATTGCCAGAAGTTAGGCTGGAAATAGGGAGTGATGGCTAGCTAATAGAAAAGAATTTCTTTTGGCAGTGATAAAAATGTTCTGGAACTAAATAGTGTTGAATTCATAAAGTAAATAAAAATTTTTAGAAGAGTTAATTTGAGAGGATATGAATATCTCATTTTAAAATACTTTTTGCCATTATAATAAAATTTGTATAATTTGGGACATTACCCATTAAAGCTCTAAAATGATTTACTTCCTTTTAATTAGTTTAAATTTTAGATTAACATGAAAAACATGCATTTTATTGGATATGATATGGTATTTCAACAGATATACACAGTTTAAACCAATCATATCAAGCAATTAGCCTTTCTATTTCCTTTATCTCAGATTATAATTATCTCACAGTTCAGTAGAACTCTAGAAATAATTACCTTCAGCAAATGCATTTTGGTTCCCATTAACAGATCTCCCCCTCCTCCCACACCTTCCAGCCTCTAGTAATCACTCTTTCAGATTCAGTAACTATATGTGAATATATATGCCCTTTTTAACTTCCACATGAGAGAAAACATGCAGAATTTGTCTTTCAGGTCTGGCTTATTTCACTGAATATATTAGCCTGTGAGTCTATCCATTTTATCGCAGATTTCAGAATTTCATTCTTTCTTAGGGTCACGTAATGTTCCACTGTGTGTATTTCTCATGTTTTCATTCATCCATCCATTGAAAGACATCTAGCTTGATTCCATATCTTGGCAGTGAATAGTGCTACAATGGTAGGAAAAAAAGAGAGAGAGAGGGAGGGAAGGAGTGAGGGAAAAATAGAAGAAGGCACCAAAAAAATAAATGGAAAAATCTCCCATGTTCATGGATTAGAAGAATCAATATCATCAAAATGTCCATACTTCCAAAAGCAGTTTACAGAGTCAATGTGATATCAATCAAAATACCAAAAACTTTCTTCTCAGGAGACACCAAATAGCTAAAACAATCTTACACAACAAAAACAAAGCCAGAAGCATCATAATATCAGATTTCAAGCAAAGCAGTTATAATCAAAACAGCCTGGTACTCATAGAAAAACAGATGTATAGACCAATGGAACAGAACAGAAGCTCCAGAAATCAATCCAAGCATCTACAACCAACTTATATTTGAAAAAGGAGCTAACCAATCCCTAGAGCAAGTCTCTTCAACAAATGGTGTTGAGAAAACTGGATTTCCACATGCAAAATTATGAATCAATACCCCTACCTTAAACCTTACACAAAAAATCCACTCAAAGACCTAAATCTACAACCTGATACCATCAAATTATTAGAGAACATTGAGGAAACCCTGCAAGACATTGGTACAGCAGTTCCATTGGTATTGGAGTTCTCGGAAAAGACCCCAAAGGCACAGGCAGTCACAGCCAATACTAACAAATGGAATTACATCAAATTGAGGAGTTTCTGTTCAGCAAAAGAAACACTCAGGAAAGTGAAGAGGCAACCAACAGAATGGGAGAAATTATTTGCAAAGTATACAATTGATACAGGCTTAATAACCAGAATAGTCAAAGAGATCAAGAAACTCTATGATCTGATTTCATCATCATTTAAAAAAAAATCATCTATTATTTTTCACTTTATGTTTCTGTGTGGGAGCAAACTGCTGAAATCCTTACTTAATGTATACTAAGCTGATCTTCTGTATATTAAGATAATCGAAAATGAATCTTGATGTGAATGGAAGGGGAGAGGGAGTGGGAAAGGGGAGGGTTGTGGGTGGGAGGGACGGTATGGGGGGGAAGCCATTGTAATCCATAAATCGTACTTTGGAAATTTATATTCATTAAATAAAAGTTAAAAAAAAAAAAAAAAAGAAACTCTACAACAACAAAACAACCAATCCAGTTAACAGATGGGCCATGGGTAAAGCTACCACCTGCAGTTCATCACATATGGGCACCAGTTCAAGTCCCAGCAGCTCCACTTCCATCCCAGTTCTCTGCTATGGCCTGGGAAAGCAGCAGCAGATGGTGCAAGTCCTTGGGCCCCTGCACCCACATGGGAGGAAGTTCCCGGTTCCTGGCTTCAGATTATCCCAGCTCCGGCTGTTGCAGCTAATTGGGGAGCAAACCAGTGGATGGAAGACTTCTCTCTCTCTGCCTCTTCTCTCTCTCTGTATAACTGACTTTTCAAATAAATAAATCTGAGAGAGACAGAGGGAGAGAGAGAGAGGCCGGCCAAGGACTTAAACAGAAATTTTTCAAGAGGAAATCCAAATGGCCAACACACACAGGAAAAATGCTCAGTATCAATAGCCATCAGGGAAATGCAAATAGCAACCACAATGATGTTTCACCTCACCTCAGTTAGAATGGCTTTCATACAGAAATCAGCAAACAAATGCTGGCAAGGATGTGGGGAAAAAGGTACCCTAATCCACTGTTGATGTGAATGTAAACTGTAAAGCCACTATGGAAGACATATGGAGATACCTCAGAAATCTGAAAATAGCCTGTCATATGACCCAGACATCCCACTCCTGGGAATTTACCCAAGGCAAATGAAATCCGTATATGAAAGAGTTCTCTTATCCCCATGTTTACTGAAGCTCAGTTTACAATAACTAAGACCAACCCGAGTGCCTGTCAACTGAAGACTGGATAAAGAAGTTATGGGGGCTGGCGCCGCGGCTCACTAGGCTAATCCTCCGCCTTGTGGCACCAGCACACGGGGTTCTAGTCCTGGTCGGGGCGCCAGATTCTGTCCCGGTTGCCCCTCTTCCAGGCCAGCTCTCTGCTGTGGCCAGGGAGTGCAGTGGAGGATGGCCCAAGTGCTTGGGCCCTGCACCCCATGGGAGACCAGGAGAAGCACCTGGCTCCTGCCATCGGATAGGCGCAGTGCGCCGGCCATGGCAGCCATTGGAGGGTGAACCAACGGCAAAAGGAAGACCTTTCTCTCTGTCTCTCTCTCTCTCACTGTCCACTCTGCCGGTCAAAAAAAAAAAAAAAAAAGGAAGAAAGAAAAGAAATTATGGGATATACACACTAAAGAATACTACACAGCAGTTAAAAATGAAATCTGGTCATTTGCAACAAAATGGATAAATCTGGAAAACATCGTATTTAGTGAAATAAGCTAGTACAAAGGGACAAATATCATATGTTCTCCCTGATCTGCAAGAACCAAGAGTACCTAAAAGGCAATCTGTAGAAGTGAAATTCACACTTTGAGAAGGGATGACTTGAACAGCCCTTGTCATAACTGTGGAGGAAGTTTTTGTTTTTCATACTATTTGTTGAACTCTTCACTTAACACAGAGTTAAACATATGTGTATATGTCAATTGAAAATAGATCTCAGTAAAAAAATGAGAATGAGAATAAGAGAGGGAGGAGGAAGAGGGGTGGGAGTATGGTTGGGAGGGCAAGCAGAGAGGGAAGAATCATCTTGTTCCAAAAGCTGTAATTATGAAGTGTACGAAGTTTGTGAATATAAAGCTGTATAGTTCTGCATACATTCCTACTGACTTTCTTCTAAGGATACAGTTTATTTTTTTATTTTATTTAATAAATATAAATTTTCAAAGTACAGTTTATGGATTACAATGGCTTTTTCCCCACCACAACCTCCCCCCCACCTGCACCCCTCCCATCTCCCACTCCCTCTCCCATTCCATTCGCATCAAGATTCATTTTCAATTATCTTTATACACAGAAGATCAATTTAGTATATATTAAGATTTCAACAGTCTGCACCCACACAGAAACACAAAGTGTAAAATGCTGTTTGAGTACTAGTTATAGCGTTAATTCACATTGAACAACACATTAAGGACAGAGATCCTACATGAGGAGTAAGTGCACAGTGACTCCTGTTGTTGACTTAGCAAATTGACACTCTTGTTTATGGCGTCAGTAATCACCCTAGGTTCTTGTCATGAGTTGCCAAGGATATGGAAGTATTTTGAGTTCACCGACTCTGATCTTATTTAGACAAGGCCATGGTCAAAGTGGAAGTTCTCTCCTCCCTTCAGAGAAAGGTACCTCCTTCTTTGATGGCCCATTCTTTCCACTGGGATCTCACTCACAGAGATCTTTCATTTAGGTCACTTTTTTCTTTTTTTTTTCTTTTTTTTTTTTTTTTTGCTAGAGTGTCTTGGCTTTCCATGCCTAAAATACTCATTAAGGATACAGTTTAAAAACTTGCAATGGGACTCCAAATCCCCTTAAGCTGGGTGGTAAATATACCATCTTAAGTGTTAAACTGATCATATGAATAGGAATAAGGGTCTGGTAATAATAACAAATCGAATTAAAAATGGAGAAAATGCTCCAACACGGGAAATAATCCATACAGCAGACTCACGGAATGACAATCACTTTAAGTGGTACTCTGACCTCAGAATCAGCCCTTAAGGCATTCTGGTCTGCATTTCAGGCATGGAAAGCCAAGACACTGTGGCAAAAAAATGTCCTATATGAAGGACCTCAGTGGGTGAGACTGCAGTGGAAAGA